TGGCCTTCTCAACGCCGTCGGCGTTGCCGATGACTTCAATGGCATCCTCCTTAGCATCGTTACGGGGGACGTTGATCTTGCAACCGCTCTGCTTGCGGATGGAGTTGACCTTGCTGCCACCCTGGCCGATGACATAGCGGTAGGTCTTGGGGTCGGGCAGGACCAGGTAACCCGTATGGGTGTTCTTCTTTGCCTGTTCAATGGCAGAGGCGATCGCAGCCTTGGCCTTCTCGAGGTTCTCGGGAGAGCCACGAAGGACCCAGGCAATCTCGCCATCCTCGCCAGCAGCGCTGTCCACAACCTTCCAGGAGTGGGCGTCGGCGGTGGCATCCTCGTCATCGGTGATCAAGGGCAAAGCACCACCGTTGCTGCGGCTGGCGGCAGCGCTGGGCTTAGGAGGAAGAGCCTGTCCAGCGTGGTCGACCGAAACCTGGTGGTTGTTGCGGAGCTGGCGGAAGAACTGGCCGTTGTTGGAAATGGAGTGGTGAAGGCTGCGCGGCACCTGGAGGGTTTCTCCCTCCTGCTCCTTGACGAGCGAGGCGATATGCTCCTTGGCCTTCTCAACGTTCTCGGGACGACCGGTGATCTTGACACCAGTCTTGCCGTCACCCTGGCGGGGAATGTCAATGGAGACGGTGAACTGGGACTCAAGCTGGCGCTTAGCGTCTCCGCCACGGCCGATCAGGGTTCTGTGCTTCTCGATAGGAACTTCGAGAATCTCAGTAACCTGGCTCTCCTTCTCTGCGACGATCTCCTGAATCCGTGCAACGATCTTGTTGACGATGTCGGAGCGGCCCTCAACCTTGATAGTGTTGCCATCAGCCTCCTGCTTGGGGAACTGGATGGTGCGTGCAAGCTCGCGGCGGTCGTCAGATCCACCAGCCTTGACAACGAGGTCGCGGAGGTTGGCGCCTAAGTAGTGTTAGTTGAAGCTACAGAGTCCAAGTGGCATGTGTGGTCTTACCTCCAGAACCAATGAGAGACTTGTGGTGCTTCTTATCCACTTCGATAGTCTGCACAACGGTGTCGTTGAAAACGTCTCGCTTCTCTTCAAGAGCCTTCTTGGCAGCAGCAACCTGGGGCTTGGTACCCTTGATCAAAATCTCCACGGTCTCAGCGTCGCGAGCACTGGGGATATCAATCTTGGCACCAGTTGCTACGCGGAGCTCCTCCAAGGCAGCGCCACCCTGTCCAATAATGGATGGGACTTGCTTCTGCTGGACGGACACAGTCGCAGTGAAGGAAGTGTCCTTGAGGTACTGGAGGAGAGAGAGAATCTCGTCGCGGGCCTCATCTGCCCCCTTCTTGGGACCACGGACAATAACCTCATCGGGCTCCTGCTGGCGCTTAGGCTTGCCAGCATCGCTGCTGGCGTCGGCGTTCTCCTCATCCTTCGCGTTTTTGCCGGATCGGGGGAAGAAGATCAAGACCTTGTACTTGCTTTGCAGGCGGTTTGTGACGCTGCCGCCCGCACCAATAAGCTCGCGGTGGAACTTGGGATCGACCTTGAGGACATGAGTGACCTCGTCAGCCAAGGTGCGGCCCAAAGAGCTGATGTGAGCCTTAGCGGCCTCGGCCTTGGCCTTGGGGCCCTTCAGCTCGACCTGACCATCCTGGACCTGAATCTCGACGTCAAAACGATCACGGAGCTCCTTGATGTTGGAGCCGCCCTTGCCGATAAGGTGGTTGGCGTACTTCTGGGGGAAGTCGAAAGACATGGTGTAACCACGTTCCTTCTCATCCTCCTTCTCTTGCTCGACAAAGGCAATGACCTTGGCCTCGAGGTTCTTGACAGCGGAAGCAGGACCACGCAGGTTGACAACAGTGCCAACCGAAGAAACGCGAATGGGGATCTGGTCATTGGCACGGTTGGCCTGCTCCTTCTTGATGAAGCGACGGAGGCGCTCGTGGAACCTGTAGAATGCAATTAGTGTCACAAGCTTGTGCGCATGGGCAAGACACAACTCACTTCTGGGGCACATCAACCGAGGCAGATGCGATCTGCTCTTGCTTGTTGATGATATCCAAAATCTGCTTACGAGCCTCCTCCAGGCCCTTCTGGAAGGCCTGGATCTCATCCTGAGAGGGACGACCGGTCTTGATCTCAGGCTTGGGCTCGGAGGCAGAGGGTCCCTCGAAGACCAAAAGGACAGGAGCCTCGGGCTCGCCAGACTCAGGGAGGATGACGTGAACGCCATGGCTGTTGATCATACGAGGGCTAACGTCCTTCACCAGGTAGTTGTGGTAGAAAGGGTCGACAGGAATCGGCGCGATTCTGGCAGGAGGAATGGCATGGACAAGCTTCTCAATTGCCGACTGAGCCTGGAGAACGCTCTTGCCGTCACGCGCGTACAGCTCATAGGGCGAGGCGCCTGCAGAGGTGAACGGGGTGTTGATGTGAGTGTTGTGAGCACTCTCAATGTCGTCGAACAGATCGCGGTGACGCAGGTAACGAGTGACGTTACGAGCGTGTGTGTTGACACCTCCAGGAGCGTTCTTGTGGAATCTGCCAATGTCGAAAGTGGAGAATTGCATGTTCATGGCTCTGTCCATAGCAGTCTCGACACCCTTAGTGAGCTGAGCTGCAGGGCCAATGACAGTGACAGAGTCGTCATCCTCATCAGTCGGCAAAAGGATGGTGCAACCAGTCTGGTTGAAGAAATCGTCAAGTGTCTCGCCGCGGCGGCCGGCGATGAACTGGTGACGACCCTTCTGCAGACTGAACTGGTCGATAGCAAGCTGGTTCTGGAGCTCATGAACACGGCGCTCGATCTCGGCGCGCGCAGCCTGGACGGCAACGCGGTCACCCTGAAGCTGAATGTGGTTGTCGGCGGCAGGAGTGAAGACGGGGCGCTCGCCCTCATTCGCAACGAGATTGCGGCCACGAGGAGCCCAGATCTGGTGGGCAGGAACGCGGACCGTAACACCGTTGTTCTCGTAACGACCGATGTGGCTGTTTCCAGGGCCCGCAATGAAGGGGTAGAACTCAGCCGGGATGCCCCTAAGCTTGCTGTTGAGGTTGGCGGTGCGGTCGCCAGCAATTCTCAGGATCTCGTTACGAGCAGAAGCAGCGGACAAAGCGTTGCCCTCAACGAGGACGTCAATGGTGGAGTCATCATCCTCGTCGATGGGAGCACTGCCCTCCTCCGCCTTAGGGAGTTGGACCCGGGCGCCAGACTTCTCCTGGATAGACTTGATAACAGAGCCACCCTTTCCAATGATGTGGGCACGAGCAGATTGGGGGATCGGAACCTTGATGGTAGTCTGAAAAATGGGATGTCAGCAAGGGTGTGTAGTGGATAAAGAATTGGCCGCCTACCTTGGTACCAATTTGCTGGACGAGGTCCTTGAGGGCCTGTTGAGCAATGTCCTGGGGACCCGTGGCTTCGAACCTCAATTTTCCGTTGGATCCGTTTGACAAGGTGATGTTGGCGCGCGACTTGCGGTTGATGTCCTTCATGATATCCGGAATGGGGCGCTTGAGCTGGTTGCGCGGGAGGATGAACTGGGGCTCCAGCACAACTGTCTCAACGTTACGACCAGGGATCGACATCTTGGGGGTAGCAACTCCCGAAGCGGGAGTCGAGGAGCGGGAAACACCGTTGGCGGGGGTAGAGGCGCTGCTCTTGGCTCCCCAGATGGGGGTGACGTTGGGGCCAGTGCCCTTGCCCTTGGAGGTTCCAAGCTCGGGGAATAGCTCATGGGAGTGGGTATCGATCTTCTTTCCAGAGGCCGAGGCTTCCTTCTGCTTGTTCGCAGCTCTGCTGGAGCTGGGCTCGGCCCAGGAAGGAGCGTCGCCGGACTTCACGGGGAGATCCTCATCAGGGACGTCCTCGACAGTGGGGTGCAGGTCGGCATGGGTTTGGAGGAGGCGTTGGGCAGCTGAAGTCTCAGCGCCGTTGGCAACAGTGGAATCGGTAGAGGCCATTATGAGGCTGGTTGACTATAGTTGTCGTTATAGAGAGAAGAGTTCGATGGTGTTATGGGAATAGGAGGGGATCGGTATATCTGCAAGGGGTAACGACACCTAGTTAGCTGATGTGTTCTGCTGGAGACGCAAGAACGGCAGAAGCGTCCACTGAAGGAATGAGGTTGGAAGAGAAGAACTAGATCAAAACACTCACAACTGATGGTATATACGGCAGTGGGACAAGACCAGTAGAATCAGACCTCCGATGAAAGAAGACTGAAGCGTGAGAAACCGTAGAGCAGCGAGTAACCGATGGGAAGATGGATTTTGATGCTGGCTTAGAACATTGTGACCCTAACCGGCAACAATAATCGTATCCAGGAAGTTGAATCGGGGGAGGGAAAGTTGGCAAAGGGAACAAACCAACCAATTGATAATTTGAGAGGTGGGAGGATAGGTAACGGAGATGGATTTGAAGGTTCGGGGGGAATAAGGGTGAGGTGGAAGATTCTCGACTCCACGATGGTCGAGCTGTTCAATTGGAAAGTGGAATTTCTGGCGCGGGCAGGGGTGCTACTTCCAGAAAGGTTCCGCCTGCCAGAGGTCCGATGCTCCAACCAGCTCCACTCTTGATGACCCCACACTTAGCCTCAGCCACAACCTAAATTGTTAGAGTGGCCAGGCCCAAAGGGTCAGCCGTTGCACCTAGAAGGAACGATGGCCGGAAGGGAGCTCCGGCGTCACGTGGGGCCGCGTGACGACTTGGGCCCGGCGTCGGGTGTCCGCATATGTCTCCGGCCTCCGGCGCTTGGACACCGATGGTTCGTGTAATTTCCAAATATTTGAAGCCGTCGAGGACCGAGATGTCAACGATGCAGTCAAGCATTTTCATAACGGAGTATGGTCCGTCTCAAGAACACCCACTCAACGTATTGTGTCCATCCTGACGCTGAAATATTCCTACTGAATTCCGAGGCCGGTTCCGTTCAGTGGCCAACGCTCTAGAATAAAGCGACCTCGCATCTAGGTTTCGTCCTTGATTCAATCCGTTTTCAGCTTGTCTCATGTGTTTGACTGCCCTGGCAACCTACCGGACAAGAACAAGCGACGGTTGAGATGTCGTTGACAAGAAGCATGGCCCATGTATCGGAAGATCGCAAGATACGTTTTCCCCGGGTCGATAAAGTGAGAGTCGAGAAGCTGCCAACTGGGAAGTTTGGCTGGTGCGAAGGAAACGTACGGGAAATCATCAATCTAAATTTCCTCGAGGAGGACATCGTCGTTGCATTTCACTGTTCAACTATCGGAGTTCGAGTGTGCGAACCTATGAGGCTTAGAGTGACGACTTTGGAGTCAACAAGTCCCAGAAAAGGCCATATTTCAAACTTATGATCAGCATTATTTCTTGACCCATTCGCCAGGATGTCACTGCCAGTCGTAAGTGGACCGATGGTTGCCACACATATGCAATCGTCCCCGTAACGACGAAGATTGATTGCCTGATGCCATGTACTCCAGCTAGCTGACAAGCCTGTGTTGGTTTGGACCAGAAGCAGGAATAGTAGTGTTGATAAAGCCATCGGTGATCATCTCTACATTCCAATATGTTACACGATTAGCCAGCGTTGCACCACAGAGTGCTCATAAATAGAAGATATATGCAGGAAAACCAAACCTCCTGGGCAAACGGCTGAGGTTTCTTGCCCAAGGAGTTTCAAGTGGCCTATATCAATTACTTAGCACCATTGACACACGGAGTTTGTGAAGTAGATAAAAGAAATGCTGTAGCAACTCCGTGGCCTATCAACACCAGGCCACCCGCGCGATATGTGAAAGGGTGATACTCGAGTCGCCTCTCGTCAGTAATGACCCACAGCAGAGAGATCTAGCCTACAACTCTTTCATCTCGAACCGACAGCATGGTTCGCTCAACCAAATTGAACCTTTGACCTTTTCGGCTGGCTACCCGACACAGGCATCGAGTGCTTGCCAGAGAGCAAGCTGCATTGTGCAGGGGCGGTTGCCAGGGAGCTTCTGGCTTCTATTCTTGAAGTACAAACACCGAAGCATGTCACGTTTTTGGCCTACATGGCCGAGTAGACATTGGCAGCAACGAGCAACATGATCTAATGGCAAATTTTTCAGTTCGTGAAGTCTTAGAGCGCAAAAGGTGCGAATTCCTCGTCAGCCAACAGTATACCGTCGTAAGCAAGATGGAATCGACGTGAAAGGCGAGCAAAGTGGGCGACAGAATGATATGCCATCACCCACTCGACGAGGTCCTCATTGTCTACCAAACCATGACTATTTGCTCCCGCAAAGGCATTGCGCAGAAGAGTAAGTTTCGTTTAGACTCAGCCTTTTACCCCTCAGATGACCAATACCTTAGACGAACGTGTGAGTTGGACCCTTCATGCACCCGAGAGTTTGGGGCATGATGAAGTTTGCTGTGTATGGACGAGTCTGCCAGGATCTACACAACCCTATCCCTAGTTCCTTCCCTTTCTCTGGCAAGGAAATATCCAAACGAATAGTAGAGAGTGACTAACTCTGAATTACTCACGTTGAACAAGGCAGTCGGCTCGGAGATACCGGACCTGACGGTTCTTCGATATGACCTTGACACGCCCTACTCACGATGTAGATGAGGAAACTACGGCCATTTTCGCTTACAACACGTCCGACTATCCCGCCGCAACTTGGGCACTTAAGTTCGCGTCGCAAGAGGGATGATCCATGAGTTCCTCAGCTTGGCCATGGTGCTCAATTCGCGGGGCTCTCTGAGCGAACAGCCTTGAACCGCAGTCGCGGTCTGGCGCAACTCGCCTGATTTCATTCAAAGGCTCAAACTGAGCTACCATGAAATTGATTCGTCGCACGTGTGTATTGTCAACTTGGGTCTGGATATCGTGTACATGCTAGATCGAGTAACTGCACAAACATTGCATGAATGCTTGGCATCAGCAATGAGGTTGTCTGACATTAGTCTTCCTGTAGCGACAGAGCCAAGCCATTGAGCTCATCGAGACTGCTGTGGAATGGATCCAACATCATGAAATTCAAGGCACAATATCCGGAAGGAGCCAAAGCAATGAGCAAATGGCAGGTGTACGGAGTATATGAAGGACTTCCATCTCCTGGTAATTGAAGGCCCCCCCAGACGCAATCAGATGAAGTAGAGGAGCAGAGCGCGGCGGATATTCCCCAAAGAGCTGCAATAATTTCAACACGCACCACTCGTTTGGTTGGTGGGCGTCCTCGGTATCCCCCGTCTCTTCGTCAACACTAGTACGCGGTAAACGGGACCTTACTTGACTGGTGTAACGGCTTTTTGATTAAAAACATGGAAAGAGAGGGATGGGGGTTTAAAATAAGATCACAACGGCCACGCTACTCTTGTAGGGAGATGGAGCCAGCCACAGTTCGGTTTCGAAAACCTCCTCCAAACTCAACGCCTCGTAGATCTAAGATGACTCTCGGCCCCAGCACTATCGCTGGTGCACACCACCAGGCCGCACGGACGTTGACGATGGAATAGCACCATGGGTGCGTACTTCGTAGGTACGGATAGAAGAGGGATGGTGTGTATCCGTAGGGTACGGGTCGCCCAAGATAATCTCTCGGTTGAGCAAGGAGTGTATCATTTCCCAATCAGCGAGGGCCTAGGGGGACTGAACGGGAAGACGGGCGGGAAGACGGAGGTAATTAGGAAAATTGTCGTGATTCTTCAAGGATTCGTGCAGCCAGCAGGGCAGGTATTGGCTCTCGTGGACTGGGGGGCCTATGCAGACACTTGTGACTGGCAGATAGGATATTGAGGAAAGAAAAGAGTTGAGACATATGTGGGAGACGCCGTGCAAAGAGATCCAAAGAGATGAAGCATTGCCTGGACCCTTTGTGGAGCAGGAAGCTCAAGTCCCCGGTGGGTTGAAACAAAGATCCAAATTCCAATAGAAGCCAGGAACGTGCATTGGCCAGCGAAGCCCCGTAATGAAATTCCGGCCGGCGTGAGAGCATCTCAGACATGATACGTACCTTTATGCAGTAACTCAGTCCTGATCTTACCAAAGGTAGGTAGCGTCGTGCCTCGCGATAATACCAGTCAAGATATTATTACACGAGAGCGCGGCGGCCCAGCCCAACCAAAACGAGGATTGCAGCTCACCAAAGTAGTATAGATTGTCAGAGAGGATGGACGACGATATATTCATGCCTTATGGGATACCCTCTACTTCGTAAGGTAAATTCTGGCAGGCAAGAAGAACCAGGGAAGGCGGAAAGAAGGAGCGGACGGGGCGTGTGGCCGAAGCTTACCTTCCCTTCGCCATGCTCGCGCGTCTTGTTCTTACCTTTAAGGCAGGCATTCTAGGCCCTTCATTCGTCGTATGACAGCGAGATGTTCTGATGTGCGGGAGAAAGCGCAAGATGACGGTCATTCCCGCGGTTAATTGGACCGGCCCGTGGCTTGCCTGGCTCTGACCAGAGAGAGAGAGAGAGAGAGAGAGAGAGAGAGAGAGAGAGAGAGAGAGAGAGAGAGAGAGAGAGGGGATTTGATCACCTTGAAAGTTATCAATGGGTGGGCGGGAATTCTTCGTCGGAAGGGTCTCACTTTTAGCACCCAACTTTGGTCAAGTATTCGTCCGAGATGAGGTGTCGCATCGCCATGTAAGGCGATCCTCGTCACGAGAGCATCTCATTTGACCGTGGGTAGGTAGTTGAATTAGTTGAGCGTAAGGTTTCTCGAGGTATTAATGATCAGAGACAACGCATAGGTGGTGAGAGTCCTGGTCGGCATACCCCTGCTGGACGATACGGATGAAAAGAGGCTATCCGGAAGGAAGAGCCCAAACCACCAAATGCCCACGACCGACGAATGTGTGGTAGGAATCTAGGTACTCCGTATCTTGACTGAAAGTCTTTCGCTAGGTACATCATCATGAAGGGCTGTACGTACCTTTTCTCCATCATCAAGGTGTCAATGAATTGGAAGCCACGCAAAAGTAAGTACGTGACTACCTACCTCTCTCTGTACAGATGGCCTCATCTGACTTTTTCTCCATGATAACTGTTATTCCCGGGTGCTTCTTTTGGGTGCCAATGTCATGTCAGCCCAGTACGATAAAATCTCTGTCCATACGGTCGCAATCGCTGGGACATTCCCGACGCAACCAGAAAGCATCTCCCTGCCGGCGCGAAATAACGTCAGTTCAAACAAAACAACCCAAGGCTCAAAGCACCTCAGAAAAGAAGCTCGGGCAAAAGAAAAAAGCAAACGTCCTCATCTCGTCTCGTCTCTCTCTCTCTCTCTCTCTCTCTCTCTCTCTCTCTTTCTTTGCCTTTCGAGTTTCGACTCCAATTCACTCCCGCTTGCCCTAACCCCCTCTGCTCCGTCCCTCCCTTCCGGCCCTTTCCCCCTCCCCTCCTTCTCAATATCGATCCTCGCCTGGTGTCCTCCTTCCTCGAAGGCATTTGTCTAGGCGCCAGGGGATGCCGAACCGCCGGCCACCACGGCCCAAGATATCATAGACGGGAACAATCCTCACATCATGTTCTATCGAACATGGCACCGAAGCGGGCATTCTCCTCGATATCATAATCCAGCATTGCATGCTTGCCTAACTTTATACGCTCCTACTATCTACATTTCCACATACATACAATGCTCTTCCTACACATCGCCCTGCGCCAACCAGACATGCATTGCTGTTTGTATTACTTACGTCAGTCAGCCCATACGAGAGCTTTTTCGTAAGCAATGGCAAAGCAAGTAGCTTTCCGAGCTTCCAAGACTGCCAGAACGGGCGCTGCAGGCAACGTCGCTCGCCCAGCTTCCGAGTTCCTGTTCTGCCACACCAACTTGCCGGGTCAGACAGCACCTATGTACGGAACTGGATTCGCAGCACTGCAATGCACACTTGGCCGTTCCATACCGAGACGACATGGAGGGCTGTATCCCTCTTGTTTTTCTTGCTCCAGGTCACATAGATTCAAGACCCTTGGTGCTTCAGCTTCCCCCCCCACTGACCTGACCGCGACGGCGAGCCCAACCCCTGACCCCCGAATACCCTGGCTTCTCCCTACCACATTGCATGCCCGCACTACTTTTGCAACTTAACAGCCCGTTAGGCTAGAGCCGGCATGCGATCAGCAAGTCCCCTCGACCACTGTGGCACTGACCAGAGCCATCTATCTCGCACCTGAGATTGACCAAGGATCGACCGTCAGGTATGAGGCTCCAAACAAGACAAGCACACAAGCAAGCACAGTCGAGTCGACTGAATGGGGCACGGGCGCGGGCTGGAGATGCACAGCACCGACGTCGACCTAAAGCAACCCCCAATTTCAAGGCACGGTGCCACTGCAGCTATGTGAGGAAGCACAGAGAGCAGCAAGCAACAAGCAGCATACCTACTCCGTACCTTACCTTGGCCAAGCTGCCTCGCGGATGTTGCTGATGGTAGTTGCCGTAGCTCTGCTCTCGAGCTCGCTGTTGGTTGCGTGCTCCCGGTCGCTGTTACTTCTCAGCTGGGGCCTGCTGTGCTTCTTCCCGAAAGCAATCAGTTTGAACCACAGACGAGGCCCAGGGCCTGCGCCGGTGTCTCTGCCCCGGCTCTCTCTCCTACCCTCCCAAACACGCCAGCGATTCGACGTCGAGCCTCGGGGAACAGATGACACTTAGGTAAGTGGAAGTCAATCAACCTGTCTATCCGTACCTTGGCTGTCTGCATCATCATTTTAGCCCACCAGCAGGGCGAGGAAAGCTCAGACTTGAGGGTTTTGTTGCTAAAATACTTTGCATTCTATTCTGGGGTACGAGGTGTTGTGCGATGCACATCTGTCACAACTACGAACACGCCCCCCTGGCTGCTTCCATAGGAGACACCATTTCCATCTCCTGTCCTCGGTATAGGGACCTGCAAGTGCGAGTTCCCTCACCTCCGTGTTCAAAGGAAGCTGTTCCGCCGCAGGTGGAGTAAGGTCGTCTCGCGTAGTTTTGCCCGAGGTAGCCTTGCTCAGACAGCCTAGGTACGGACACAGGGACACTGGAAGTTTCCCGGCGATGATGATGACGATGAGGGGCACACGACAGGGCATATAGTCAACAGTGTCATCTACTGCCAGACACTGTGAAGAAAACGGCGTCGGTTGCTTGGTGTCACCTGTTCAATTGCGACTGTTGGTTGGGCCACTGGATGTGCTACTAACAGGTAACATCAGTCCAGCCACTTCGCTGGATCGGCCATGTGGGGATATGAGTTCGCAGAGACGATTTTGGTGATACGTCTGGAAAGAAGAATAAGAAAAGAAGCTGGGCGCCTAAAAACGACGAACCTTTCTCCGTCTTGGTCTCAGTCTCAGTCTACGGGGGTATGCGTGGACACTGGGAGTCAGGCTGGAACGAACGTCAGTCCCGAGATGAGGTCATTTCGAGCACAGCTTCGATGGCTACCTTGGGCTACAATATGAGAGGAACATGCAGGCGGATCAAAAGTACAAGTTTCTTCTTTGGACTGCAGCGCATCTCCAGCACTTAGCACGCATCACAATTCGGCCAGTCGACTGTGTGTCGCGGCCAATCAGGAGGGGAAGCGCTCACGCTCGCTGGCAAGTCGAGTCGTCCTTCCCTTTCAGAGTTCGGCCGTATGTGCTGTCAAACGAATGACTTCCTAAGCTTGAACCTTTTCAAGATACCTATTGGGGCACAATGACACCAGCATCTTGGAAGGCTAGTCACCTAGTCAGAGGCTCAGGATGGATAACCGCGATACTGCAGCATGGGCTTCATGGACGTTTGGAGACAGGTTACTACGGATACACACTGTGTTTCCTGCTTTGGAGTCTTGTTGGACACCATCTGAAGTCTGAAAGCAAGGCTTCGTGCCTTGATCAAGGTAAAAAAAAAAGTGTGTGCCCCTCCCATCCAGTCCTGCAGCCAGGGCTCTGTCATCTCAAAGCGTATCCGTAGGGGCATCTTGGGGGCAGTATCCGTACTCCGTAAGGTAAGGTAGGTACGGTAAAAGAAATGGAAGGCAAGGCAGGAAAGATACGTATCTCACGTTACCCGGACGAGACCCCACCTCACAGGCTCAACTCCACGGCGTCTCCACCTTTTCCCACACCACCACACCACACGGCCACGGCCACACGGCCACACGGCCCCCAGGCTAAGGCAGCCCATCCGCGTCCAGTCCATTTCATCCTCCGATACCTGCTTCATACCCACCAGCTGCCACGCCCATTTCACACTACCCTACGGCTCTTGCCCACTTGACTTGACCTCTTCCAGATGGTCCCTCTCGTGCCTCTGACACTTAAATCTATGTACGGAGTACGTACTCCATCTCGACCCGCTCTTATTTCCCAAGCACCAAAACAGACTGGGAAACACGCGAAGAAGGAGAACAGAACAAGCAGAATGGAACCTCCAACTCCACCCGGCAGTGTCAAGTACCTTAGTCACAGTGTTCACTGTTGTCTTGTTGCTTCCTGAATCCTGTGTCTCGTGCAGTCTTGCAGCCCGTGAAGAAAGCAAGTTACTGACACACCACAAAGCTGGATTGGATTGCAATTCGCGAGTCTTTCTACTATGATTCTGTACCGCGCAACCTGCGTCCCACCAAGCCTAGTCCAGCCCAGTCTTGTCTCGTCTTATCCCCCGCCGCTGCATGTACAATACGGATACATGATACATTCCCTTGGTCCGCAGCAAATTCGACCAGCACTGGCAGCACCAAGGTAATCAGCGAAGGTAGTCCCATAATCCATTCCTGCCCTGGCCTAACTGCCCGCGCTTCCATCCACCTTTGGTTGATTGCTCACTCCACTAGCACCTACTGAACTATCTTCCTGTTCGTACTTTGTATTGACATTGTTGTCATCCTGGCCGGCCTTGCTGGCGGTTTGCCCCAGTTCCAGCTTTTCTCGAATCTTGCCAGCTCCGGGTCCCCAGTAAAACAATCCCCCGTCGCTCCGTCGTCGTCCACTTCAACTCCTCGCTCCGCAGCCCACCTCACCTCACCTCATACGGTCCAAGAATCCACTTCTTTCGTCTCCATTCAGCCAGTGACAGTCAGCGTGTCCCGGTCCCATCAAGCACAGAGGTTGCTGCGAAGCTTGTGACCCAGCGCCTACTACCTACTTTTATACTGTACTTTACTGGACCAGTGGACGGTGGACAGTGGTCACCACCTCAAGTACCTAGGTACCTACCCTCCCATACGGTCCATACCTTACTTTAAGGCACCTTATGCTTGGATCGATTACCGCCGCTGCTTGCTAATTAAGACCAAGATCAAGGCTAAACCGCTCTCTCCCCCCTCTGTCTTGCACGCCTTCCCGGTTCACTCACCGACTCGAAAAGTCTCGAGACACGGCTGTCACTGCAACTGTACTTGTGTTTTTGCTGCCTCCTTCACCGTTCCTGTTGGTACCACTGGCCCCTCCACACGCCTCAGTATACCTTGCCTTCCAAGCCTTATCACCCACCTCAACGTGAGGACGGGAGACGGTAATTAGACTCAGAGACTCTCAGAGCAGACCACCACCACCACTACCACCACCACTACCACCGCCGTCGCCGCCGCGTGCGTACCTCTCCCGCCGTCCACTCCACGTCTCGAGCACAAGTCAAGGGGAGACAGCATCGCATTGTGCCCGTACCGAGTTTTTTCCTCCTCACACACCCTCTATTCATACCCTCTTTTTTCCCTTCCTTTCCCTTTCTTCGACGTTTTAGACTTTTTAGGGTGTATCATGGATAGCAGCCAGAGCACGACTATTTCCAACGGCACCTCCCAACGTCGCAGGCTCACCAAGAAGCCGCCCTCGTCCTACCAGCAACACACCCGTTCCTCGAGCGGTCTCGATGGTGGCATCGACGCCCTCTCTCTCCAGAGCAAACGCAGCTCTACCTCACTGAAGCGGGCTCCTTCCGCTCCGCCAGCCCGGACGACCCCCTCAAACGCGCCAGCTGCTGCTTATTCTTCTGCCTCTGCCTCTGCTTCTGCATCTGGCTCGGCTCAGAGTTCTGGTATTCCTCTACCCGGCCTTGCTTCTTCTGCCGCTTCCAACAGCTCCTCGCCCCGTCATCTTCCATCAAGTCAGACGCACCTTCCCAATCCTTCCCCCATTCTACCTCAGGGCCAGTTCGCCGCCGGAGCTGCTTCTGCTGCTCCTTCCCCAACTGCCTACCACCACCCCCAGCTCCACGTTCAGGCCCAGACCTCCTCCTCCTCCTCCACCTTCCACGCTTCTTCTGCTGCCGCTCACGGCCACGCCCAAACCCACGCCCACGCCTTTTCTCCTCACCACCATCAGCTGCACTTCAATCACCAAAACAATTTCTACCAAAACAACAACACCAACAACAGCCCTGTAGGTAACGGTTTCGCCGTCGGCATCGCCCACAGCACCGATCGCCCGCTCGATCCCGCCGCTCCCTCGCCCTTGTCGTCACAACCCCACGACGAATTCATCGGCGCTCCCTTTGACGGTGCTGCGGTTCTGAACCGCATCGAGCAGACCAAGTCGCCTGTCGCCGGTCAGCATCCTCACTTCAACACCCCCAACTACCACCGACAAAACGCTCCCGCCCCGCTCATCAAGTCGGCGACCGATTCGCGCATCAAGGGCCCCGCCCTGAGACAGTCCCAGAGCTTCACGAACGATTCCTCCATGATGAACGAAAAATCACAAGGTGGACGGGTGACGGAGAACTCAATGATCAGTCCCAAGAGGTATTCGGATGAGGCAAAGGAGCCCCGCATGGGCGTCCTGCGCAAGAAGTCGGGCTTCTCTGGCTTCATGAACAGCCTCGTCGGCACCCCAAAGAAGCCAGTCATTTCGGCGCCTGAGAACCCCGTCCATGTCACCCACGTCGGCTACGACAGCTCTACTGGCCAGTTCACCGTCAGTCGGCCCTCAATTTCCCCCAGCTCCATGTTCTTGCTCTCCTGTCCATTCGAGCTTCTGCTCGTGCCCAGATTCTGTTCCTCCTCTTCGTCCTCGTGTGCTTGGTGTGGCTGACTTCTTTCTATGATACAGGGTCTCCCCAAAGAATGGCAGAGATTGATCAACGAGAGTGGAATTCCCGAGAAGGAACGCAGGGAGAACCCCCAGACCATGGTTGACATCATCACATTCTACAAGGAAACGACCGAGAAGCCAGCCGAGGATCAAGTTTTGGAGAAATTCCACGATGCTAGAGCGCCTGACTACCGTCAGTATGCAAACGCGAACTCGCCGTCGGGTGCCATGTCGCCGGGCATGTATCCGCCAACCACTTATATGGGTATGTCACCAATGATCAGTCCACCTGCGAGCCCTAGGTTTCCAACTGTCAATCATGAAGGATCTTTCGAAAACCCCCGCCAGCCGCCGCCCGTCCCTGGAGTTTCGGGAGGCAAAGGCTCCGGCAAGGACATCAACCTGATGCCCAGCCGCCCGGCCCCGAAGCCCCCCGTCAGCATGCCCTCGTCAATGAGGACTGCCCCCCCCAACTATCCCGGCAAGGACTCCGGCATTGGAATGTCTCAGCCAGCTGAGGACCTGCCCCCAGTCGCCTATCAGCCGCCCAAGGAGAGCAACGTTCCCATGCTACCCGAAGAGCATCGTGGAGAGCACCGATCCCGATCCCGATCCAACTCGCGTGCCGGCGCCCCCGCCGCCTACGTGCCCCCCACGCCTAACCCGCAGACTGCCCAGGCGAACGTTTACCAGCAGCAACTCATGCAGCAACAGCAAGAACAGGCCCTAGCCCAGGCCCAAGCGGCTATGTCTGGTCAGATTAGCCGTGCCCCGAGCAAGAGACAGCCCGCCCAGCAGCCGACCCCGCCCCAGTCGCAGCACCAGTACGCTCAGGGTCCCACGGCAAACGGTGGTCCCGGCCAGCGACAGCAGGTTGGTGTGCCTGGCGCACCTGGTTCCCGACCTAGGCACCGACCCCGCCAGAGCACCGGTATCGATGTCGTCGCTGCCCTGAAGCGCATCTGCTCCGACGGCGATCCTCGCGAAGTCTATAAGAATTTTAACAAGATTGGACAAGGCGCGTCAGGCGGTGTGTACACCGGCTACGAGCGAGGAACCAACCGTCTGGTCGCTATCAAGCAGATGAATCTCGAACAGCAACCCAAGAAGGATCTCATCATCAACGAAATCCTTGTCATGAAGGACAGCTCGCATCCCAATATTGTCAACTTCATTGACAGCTTCCTCTGCGGAGGTGAGCTCTGGGTTGTGATGGAGTTCATGGAGGGCGGCAGCCTTACTGACGTTGTCACTTTCAACATCATGACCGAGGGACAAATTGCCTCCGTTTGCAGAGAAACACTGAAGGGCTTGCAGCATCTGCACTCGAAGGGAGTCATCCATCGCGATATCAAGTCTGACAACATTCTCTTGTCAATGGAAGGCAACATCAAGCTGAGTGAGTTTCGAGCGATATTTGATACCATGGCCAAACCAAACTAACACCAAGTAGCTGATTTCGGTTTCTGCGCAACCATCAACGAGGCCCAAAATAAGCGTACCACTATGGTCGGCACGCCTTACTGGATGGCCCCTGAAGTTGTCACGCGTAAGGAGTATGGGCGCAAGGTGGACATCTGGTCTCTGGGCATCATGGCCATCGAGATGATTGAGGGCGAGCCGCCATACCTGACAGAATCACCTCTCAGAGCGCTGTGGCTGATTGCCACCAACGGCACACCCCACATCAAGGAGGAGTCCAACTTGTCAACAGTCTTCCGAGACTTCCTGTACTTTGCCCTCAAAGTCGACCCTGAGAAGAGAGCCAGCGCGCATGACCTCCTTAGAGTGAGTATATTCGAGATTTCAAGGATAGCCTTATACTAATCTTTCTTTAGCACGAGTTCATGAAGGGCTGCGTTGACCTTTCTCAATTATCGCCATTGGTGCGTGCCGCGAGAGAAGCTCGGCTTGCTGAAAAGGCTAGAAAGGGACAGTAGGAGGGCTCCCTTGGCCATTCACCCAAGAATATCTTCAAGCGGTTGAAACATCGACATTAATCACGACCTTGACGACAACATACATCCAAAATGGGGCTGCCCCTTACCTGTGCATTAAGATACCCCAGGAAATACTGTTGGCCACGACACACCCGGCTTGAGGCCGTTTTCCACCTCCGCTCTGCACAACAACTTTGGTCATCCTTTGGTCAACCACTTTGGCTCACGGTATGCTTAAGGAACCAGTGTGTGTCCGCGCCTTGGCTTAGCCGCCTTTCAACCCCAATCATAACTCTACTTGCTTTCAAGATACCACATCAGGGCTCTGAACCATTTTCGGCTTGGACTTTCTGACATTTCTTCTTCTCGACGGCTTGCACACGCAGCATCATTCAGCATGTTGGCGATCAAGCAAAGCCCTTTTATGTGACGGCTTTTCTCTCTTCGATTTACATAGAGGCGACCACGATTCTGGACTCGGCAGCTGCCTTCAAAGTCAGACTTCGGTTGCATATGCGCAACCCTCTCTTCCCATTGGATCAAGACGTCCGCTTTGGACCAATCATGTTCCCAAAGTCTAGTGGCCAATGTCACCCTGGATATGGGCTACTAAGGGGGGGCGAGACGATGAATCGCACGTTTTGTTTTGGCCAGCGGGAATGGGTGGCCAACTCTTTTTTTGGGGCAGACAGGCAAACCCCTTTTTCAACCTGTCTTGTGGGGATTTCTCTCTACTCTGTACAGAACACATCCGAGAAAACAAAAAGGATCGATTTTCAGATGAGATATTGACGGACATTTACAAGAGGCCATGTTCTCGGCTCTATGGTCCCTCATGTCTCAAGCCCACACAGTGGGGCGTTCTTTACTGGTCATGCGCGGGTTGATGTACCACCGTGGCGGTGGCACAACGGTTCTTCTAGACAGACTCGACTAGGTAGAGGAATGACGCTCAGGCCCAGCAGGCCCAAGAAAGTTAAAAGCAGTGTAGCCTTGTCTTCCCAGTGATGCGAATGCTGTGCCGTGCTGAGTCATTATATATAAGAATATTTTGGGTATCCCAGCTCCCTCACGAAGCGACGCCTGACATGCGCTCAAGACCCAATTCAATTCCTTGTTTTGCAGAGCAGCATTTGCTCTGATATACTCTACTTTTCCATCCTTGATAAATCTAGATTGGATCCACCTGGCTATGTCCCTTGACGATCATGTCCCCCGTACGGCCGTGCCACATGGAATGACAACTTTGACGTCAAGAGACCCAGGTTTTCATCTTTCTCAGTGAATCTCTCCCCCTTTTTTTTTTTTTGGCCTGGAATTAATTTCTTTGGATGATACTGCAGGATACTGTTTTCTATCCCCCAATCTTTTTTCTCTCTCTTTCTAACAAATGTGTCCTTTTGTGTCTTTCGCTACGGCTACGGCTGGACGCCACTGGAAAAGGGCATGGGGAAGCCACTACGCTTAAAGGGACCTGACTATCAAGGTTAATTGGGAATAAATGGGCTGGCATGTTTTGAGTTCTTTTGGGGGGCTTGCGGCTCGATCTGTTAATGGTACTGGAGGTTTTTGAACCCTGCCTCGTGCCTAGCCCTTGGTAGGCGGGTATGTATGTATACCATGCGCCAGTACATTACCACATCTGACTGTTGGGTGTGGGCTAAAACTTTCCATATTTTCCTTCCCTTTTTGGTGTTCATCGTCTTATTTCTGGGGGGATGGGTGGGATGAAAATGGTCAGGAGGGAGGGCAGAGAAAGGAGTCAAGTTCCCGACGAGGTGGACTTCATATACTCTCTTGATTATCTTAGGGCCGGGGGTGGGGGGGTTTAATAGATATAGGAGATTCACGAGAACCTATAGGACCCGGGCATCATCACATCATACTCCTGCTAAGACTGGGGGGCATACTTACTGGTCGATCCCGATTCATACAGGATACAGTTCAATCTACGCATTTATTGCTCCAGAACAGCCTCGTTTATAGCTAACCCGGATGCAGCAAGGCACAGAGAGCTCACAGCGTACCAAATGATGGAGCTTGGCCGAGTGTTCGTTGGGATTGATAGGCCACAGGAACAGAACCCATGGGCTGGCTGCTCGAGAAGGATAGCACGGTCGCCCAATCCTTCTTATCTCTAGACAGAAGTCTTGCTGATGTCACCCAGGTTCAGTTTCTCGTTCGCCTTTTCTTACTTGGCGATGTGGCAGACAGCTCACCCACCGACGGCTTCCTCCACGGTATATATGGTGTGTAGCATCAACTTTTCTCATAGAATGATCGTCTACCTTCTAGAGAAACGATTTACGGTCGTCGGGATACTTGATAAGATGTGTTCCTATTGAAGTAGCAGCTCAAGATCCTTGCCTCCGTCGTCCGGAAAGGGGGTGAGGGCTTGTTCGTATCGAACGTTGTGAACCATCTTCTGGCACCAGATCTGAGACTATATAGGAAGATATATCAAGAATTCCCTCAGAAGAAAAGACGACTAGAGAAGGATGTTCCTAGAAGTCGAGTAGAAAATTGACATTTTAACTGAGCTTGTGAGATGGTTGCCCTTTTTCCTTAGTAAGATGGTACAAGATATGGGTGTCATCAAAAGTTGGGAAGCCCAACTGTGCTAGTGAGGTGCTAAAGAAATATTTGAACGCCGTATTCATCAACATTGACTGGGAGAGAGCATAATTCGCATTTTGAACCTCACGTGTTAGAGCTCCGTCTAGAGTTCTTCAACAGTGAGGATATCGGCTCTTTCTCACAGCCAGGCCGCCTTTATTTTAGCCTGTGCTCTCGACTCGTTCCTAACGGCGAGTGTGGATATATGAAGTTTCCTCGTGAATAAATGGGGGAAGACTTTCTTTGCGTATTATTTAAATATTTGTAGTCTTGTGAAATCAGTTGTTTCCTTTTAAGTGAGAGCATGGTCGAGCGACCTTGGGTGATGTTTCCCAGGGGCAACGGGTGCCACGGGCCGGTCGGGTGATGTGACCAACGGACTGAGCACTGGGCGCAGCGGCGGCACTAGCACGTCTGCGTTGAATGCACCGCTAGGTTGAGGGGGATTGGTCTCCAACTAAGCTGTTCTTTGCCACAGTGATCACTATTCCTCGCTGCGTGACTATTTGTGTTGATAGCTTATCGAATAAGCCAGGGGTACCGGATCGCCATCAGGTGAGAGCATTATTTGAGTCCACTTAGAGCCTCGAACCTCTAAGGATAACTCACCACTTGGCGACATCGTACTCGACGAGGAGGACAGCGGCATGGACCTGGTATTAATGAGCCGGAGCATAGCAGAAGATCTGGAACGAAGAGAGGAAGAACACCAAGACATGAGAGAAGCATCTGCCGAGAAGGCAGACTTGGTGAATGCGGCCGCCACTCCTGTGCGATGCTTCAAAGATGACGATCTTGTGTGGGAAAAGGTCAACAAGGACGGCAAGTCGAACTCCAAGTTCTATATTATGAAAGATCTGGATCCTTCTACTTAAGGGCCCTCGAACTCTGATAGCACCGCTACCATCAAGGTGGGCAAAAGAAATCGCACTCCTGACCAAAGCAACTCCGGCTAAGAGACGGTGATACCTAGACTGGGTTATCGTGCCGAACATCGCCCTATACGGATCCTAAGATGTAAAAGGAAAGTTGTTCCAGAGAGTAGAACTAGGGCGGGCAATTGTCGTCGAGTTGGGTGTAAATAGAGTCTGCCCACTCTTCGGTTCGTAGTCTCATCGATGACTACCTGCGAAAGGGAGACGGTGGGACGGAAGGAATGGACAAGTGCCTGCTGTCTGGACATGGTTAGAAATATTCGAAACGCGGCAGTTCAACCTCTTCTAGTAGACGAAGGGGCTACGTTGTCTTTGAGATAAGATCACAGATCACACCTCCCGCTGTGGCCACTTACACCAAGGTATCCGTACTGTAGCAATCTGCCTCCATGAGTATCACTTCTCCAGCCCAACGGCATGAAATCTTACTCGCCCAAGGTTTAGCCGTTAAGGCAGGAAGAAACTCTGGCCCTTTGATCTAAAAGGAGTAGTAGGTACCCGAGCAGATGGAATACATGAAGTCCGTGGATGCGTATACGCACCCACGTGACTACAGACCACCGTGTCTGACCGTACCTTCCCACACTGGCCATGGTCACGACCTGAGGAGAAGAAGGGTATACAACCCCCCTCAATCCAATTCCCGTCACCAGCCAGCAGGCGCCCGTCTAAATCGACGGGTCAGGTCAAACAGGCTGGGTGGCGGAGTTGTTTATGGTCCAATAATTAAATCGCCAACCAGCCTATTCCACGACAGGCTAAGCGTATACGAGAGTACCCGAGTTCGACTCCCAGCATGAGCACCAAGAGATGTTCCCCCCAATTCAACACTGGGGGGTGAACTCTTTTTACTTCTTGTTGTGAACTCAGACGTGCTTCAGATTCACCCTTCGTTTGCTTTGGTGATGTCGTGATGGCATCAGCCACTCTGGTGCCTCACCGAGGGTCATGTGTTTGGCATTTACACAATCACCAAGGTCGACACCCCGCCATCATATCATGATTCGTTTCCGTACTCCGTACGTCGTACGGAGTACTGACCGCCCGGCGCCCGGAAAGCAGGGGTTACGACTCCCCGGCCATGCTAGGAAGCCCCATGCCCTGCGTCTGGTGTGTTGGAGTGAATGCGCCCCCCCCCCCCCCCCCCCCCCCACAAGAGTCAGAAGGACTCGTGAAGGAAGGGTAAAAATTCTAACTGATAGAAATGACAAAACTTCAGAGAAATGCTGGCGGTGAAGTTGCGGAAACCTGCGACGGGAATGGAATGGGATGCTCCCCCCACGAAAGCGCGCCCAGAGTGGGGACGGGGATATCCCCCGTCGTCAATAGGTGGAGACGGGGAACCCCCGAGTTTGTGCAGGCTTCGAGAAGGTCTTCTTCCGTCGTGTGATTGTTTCGAAGTTTTTTTTCGTCTTAATGTAAGTATAGCAGGGGTGGGCGTCGGCAAGTCATCGTCGGTGTGGGGGGTGGGCGTGGGATGTGACTGGAAAACTTCACCGTCTTCTGTTCAGCGCACCTCTAGATTTCCGTCGGTCTGGACGGGCACCGCCATGACTTCCTACGACTTCTAGATCCGTACGTTCCATCTGATATGACGACGATTCATGGGCCTTTCCTGGTCTGATTTCGGAAGTTTGTAAATACCTCTGGAACATGAGGTTAGAAAGCAGTCAGTCAGACGATTGGCGAAAAGCGTATCTTGGTTAGGAATTCAATAGGAAGTATTGCGCTGGACTAAAACAGAACCATTCAAATGATGGGAAGGGTAAAGTCGGGGTGCGGCAGTGACCGAGGGACTCGATGAACATAGCCGAGATCTTTTTTGGAGCATTCACTCGTGGCCTTAACGTTCTAGTCTGCTAGCTGTTATTCAATTAACTTAGGTTGGCTCATCACCGGTCGTTCGAGGCTTTCACATAGTTGGCGGTTTAAAATCCAATTGATATTGAGATAGCGACGCGTCTCATAATCGAAGTGCTAGCACAAAGAGATGCCAGCTTGACCATGTGGTAGAGTGACGAGAATGGTTGGCTATGATTGAAGGTGTGATTTGCGGTGAGGTCTATCGAGACCATCTGTATGAATTGCCATGTCATCATTGTCTGTTTCGTAGCAAAATGGGAGGAGTGACGGTCAACCGGTGAAGGTAGGTTGCAGAGTTGCATGGCAATGGTAGGTAGCCTGCCGGTCAGGCGAATGTAACGATGGGTGTAAATACCGATAACGGCTCTCATATGCTCCTCTGAATGACTTGTCACTTGTCATGCTAGTTTGGGTCGATCGGAGCTTTTATGCGGAAGAGGTGTCATCTGAATCCCTGCAGGAGTAGAGAGACTTTGCGGCAGAGCTGCGTGCGTGCTCGTGCTTGCAAGGCCATCCCGCAGTGATGGACCTTTTTGAACGTAAGGAGACGCCCGGATATTGTCTTGAGAATAACAGACTCAACGTGCTTATCCAAGAAGTCGACGGTGCTTGACGAACCTGAGGTAGTCGACGATTCATGCGTGACGCCCTGCATCATGAAGGGGCGCGTGGCAAGTCTGTCGAAATTTGGATCTGGCGAACGGGATTCTTTTAATAGACACGCCCCGTTTGTCGACTCCTGTGTATTTGTATCCGACGTTCCAGACCGTTTCCTTCGAAATGCGCTTCCTGGAGTATGCATATTTGAATGTCTTGAAGCTGTAGGTACCTTACTCGTAGCATATGAGGCTAGGAGCCGCAAAAGCGGACCGGGGCATGGTGGCGAGCCAAGGCCGTGGCGGTCTGCTTTGGCCTTGATGGTGGATTCTGATATCAATCGTGTCAAGCTTGCTGCTCGTTACTCTCAAAGGGCCGTGAATCTCGAAGCGTAACAAACTTGATCGAAGTTAGAAGACGGGAGGGAAACCAGAGTGAGTGGTCTGTGCTGCCACCCCATGTTTTCGGCAGACGTTAGTTAAGGTTTTTGGCCTGGGCGCACGTCTAAAATGGTCCATTGCCATTTCGGGATGGAATGGAGCTTTTTGGGGCGGCATCGTGAAAAAAGTGGCCAGCGGGTTGGCGGTTGCGGATCGTGAAAAGTTGCGAGTCCACACTTGAGCTCCAGACTCCCGTCGGGACTCCAGGCGCTTGGCCCTTGGGGAAGGGACGACCCGTGTTACTGCCGGCATGATCGTCGCGCCCCGTTTCCAGTCAATTCCAGGTGGTACGGATACTCGTTAACACGACTAAATCCTTTTTGATCCATTCGAAAAAACGAGACGGAAATCAAGACACGTTTCTGAGGTCGAGGAAACGAGGGCATAGAAAGTCAAAAGGGGAGATCTGGATAAATGTATCAGCGCGACAAGTACTTTCTTCCGACTTTTACGTGGCTTCCTTCCTCAACATGATCCGCCAAGGTGCTCATTAGGTAACTACCTTGAGGCGTTGCTTCCTTTTTGACAACCCCCACGGCTCTTTCTCAACTCGTATCAGTGCATCACTGCACTGGCAGGCGATGTCCACCGTCCCCGTCACGGTCCCGTCCATTGCGCTCCCCCGTGTCTCCTTTTTCTTACCTTTCAGTCTTCGGGAAAAGAAAGTGACAGCTACCGTACCTGCTGCATGTCCGGCGTCCAGCCTCAAGCGTCTGCACCTGCCCTCCTCGCTCTCGAGTAGGTACCCAGGGATGCTTCGACCGAGCCGACCTCCGGATGCTCAACTCCTTGCAAATCTTGTCCCGTCATCTGACCAACTTTTTTGTTTTGTTTTTCGAGACACCCTAGTCACAGCATGCCACTTCGAGAGCTTAGCTCCTTCCCCGGGATCCTCTCTAATATGCCTGGCAGAGACATGGTACTCCGTACCAGAAGAGGGACTCGACGAGGCGCAGCTAACTCCTTTTCCCGCCGACGTACCCCAAACATTCCCACGACGAGGACCTCCCCCTTCTCCTCGTTCATCACTAGTTTACTCCAGACTGTCTGTCCCTCCCGCCTTGCCGGGACGGCACAGGAACAGGACCCGCGCCGCTCGGTCTTAATATGCCAGCTAGAGCTTTACTGCCCCTGTAAGTAGCTCGGCATGGTACGCCAACACGCCCTCAGCAGCAGCTCCATGACAGCAAACCACCTCAGATTGCCAATGACCTAGGATAGTTGCCAGGCACGATTCGAGGCATCTTCATATCGATACAGTACTTACATACTTACACCGTTTGACGGCGCAACGTCCATTGCCCACGGCCATCTTGGCACGCTTGACGAGAGATTACGGAGAACGAAGTAAGAATAGAAAATCCAATGTCAGCCCCCACAACCGCTCCAGTCTACTACGAAACAGGTGGGTGGGATATCGTCCGAGACTGGGATTTAGGGGCCTTCTGCTGTCAACCCTTGTTACCGGCGCAGGCCGACATCGCTGAGACGGCTGTAGCTCCCAGGGAGAATGGAGCACCAACACCAAATTTAGACTAACAGCACAGAATCTGCCACCCTGAGAGGCTCAAGGCAATAGTGGTTCTTGACGGAGACGGGACGTTATCCGGCGCACAGACAAGCCTTTCGACGCATACTCTAGGCCGGCCTGGAAGCTCTTGGGGACCAACGTGCCTGAATGGCAGAAGTTCCCCGTCAGCCTGCTGGGGCACAAGCGGAACACGACAGTAAGGGCACTATTCGAGAATGCCAATTTAGGGGGAGACTAATAGAGCTACCCCTGCCTCAGACACCCTAGCAACACCGGATACTTCTCTGTCCCACGTTTTTTGTTGTGTGGATGAGACGCACTGTTTGGTTTGGAGAGGATGTGTTGGAGTCGAAACTGTGATGCGGATTGCCAGTCTTGCCAGTACACAATGATATGGATATGCTGTCAACTCAAACATGGGTAGGCAGCTGGGGCTCTCGCCAGACTCAAGATCTGGCTCTTTAACGGCAGTTCGCACCTTCGCTGCTGTGTAAGCCTTAGAGGCGGGTCATCGATATCTGTAGGTCAAATTTGCGACAGACTTGCAACGCATGCTATTATCGTTTCATGCCCTGGACAGCGACAATCTAGCTCGTTTGCCAGCTTTCAGAACTCTAAACGGGGCAGAGAAACGATTTCACTTGGCAGGAAGGATAAAGATGACGGAAAACGAAATTGGACGCATCCCCAGGTTCCCCAAGTGCTATGTTGTGGCCAATTTCTCTCGGTTCAGCTGATCAACAGCCATTCCGCAGTCTTGCGTCGCTAGCTTTGCCGACGGCCCAGGCATTCAGAGACACGCTCATCAAAACCCCAGAAGCCTTTGCGAGGAGCGAGATCGGAGACGACAGCATCTGAGACCTTTGCAAGCTTGCATCGCATCTCAGACACGCGCTCATGAGACTACGGAGTACAGGCTTGGGGTCGAGCCAGCTGTCGTTCCTGCATGACACTGCACCGCTCGCGCTTTTGATTCGAGTCGCGAAGCAAGTTATTGTGGCGCTTCTGAACGACGAGCCTCTACGAGTACCTACTCCGTATGACGAACAATAAAAGCCAACTGGCTGAAGCACCTCGGCCCGCACCGAAGTTGCGATCGGGCTCAGACCCTCAATCATTGGTGAAGACTAGGTTGGCCTGAGCTCTTCGACGGAATTGAGCTGAACGGCGAGCCGTCTGATTGATTCGAGAAAGGCAACGCAGCGTCATGCTCTTCGAGATGTACTCCATAGGCAAGATGCGGCGCAATTGTCTCTCCCAGCCGAGAGACCCAGGAGCGTTATTCCAGGAACGATTGGGAGCGACTCAACCTCCCGAGATCATTGTCTGCATCATAGCGTCAATTCATTCCCGCAGGCTAGTCAGAAAAGAGTGCTTAGGACGAGCAAAGCAGTGATCGACACGCGAATATTTGCCACCTAAGCCGTTGCGTAGCTTTCGCGCCGTTGGTACCGTTGTGAGGAGCGAAGATCGAGAGTTTGTCAGGATGGAGCAATCCTGAATCGTCACACCTGCTGAATCAACTCAGACCCGTAAGAAATAGGGGTCCCGCAAAGTCCGTCATTGTCAGTGGAGTTGCAACTAGAAGTGGCCGTTGTGGACCCTTCTGACAGTTAACTATGGCTATGATGCAAAAGGATGGAACGCTTACTAGCAAATGTTTGGAGACTCATAGACTGACAGAATGAATGGGAGCCTCATCGATCTTTGGACACGGTGCACAGTTCTGCAAGAAACACCAGGCCAGCTAGACCTAGAGGCAAGTTTTGGGAACCAATTCTCCTATGGGGAGGCAAGACGAACAGAACGATTTCCAATACTGCTGGCCCAGTCGGAGAGTTCCTGTCAGCAAGCAAGGCCCCAGTACGATTGCTGCAACGCAACATCTCGTTGTTCTCAGTCTTCCTTCCAATACCATGGCTCATGAAATGACGCCTTAGACGCATTTTTCGTCCATAGGCATGCGGCATGCACTTCTGATGACGCTGGTTTCCTATCCTTATCTCCAATGGACCCAATTAGCAATGTCAAATCGACTTAGACTCAAGCTCTGGCTTTTTTTCTTACTTTTCTGCTTTACTTTGATCGTAGATACGATAGCAGCGGCGATTTTCGTCCCATCTAGTCCCATCAGGCTGGCAAGGTGTAGCCGGATGCGCTGTCACCGTGGCCCGACATTCATGCAGTAGGTTGAGAATCTCATTGTCAAGACCCAAGGACCATGAACTCACGGGCTTGACAGACTCAACCGACTTGGGCCTTCGTCTCGTCTGCTCTTTTGAGTTGTGGCAGCGGATGTGAGGCGGCGGACGTGTAGCGGGTCAAACAAGTCGCGGTGACGTATTTGCACCTTTACGAACGCTACAGTCGACATCCAGGATCTCAACTTGGCCCCATTTTACGGTAGGGTGGATTCGCATGGGGGTCTATACGCTAAGACATCCCGGATGGCTTGACGGACAGGAAGCCGGGCAAGGTGCAGGACGGAGTAGCCGCCACCCACCAGGCCTGCAAGCTGTACTCCACACCTCGTTGCTAGCGTCGTCAATCCCAGCTTCCACACCACACTCCCGTCCACACCATCCTACAACTTTGCTCCCAGATTTGGGATGCTGAACCCAAAGGCAGAAGTGCCGCCGTTCAGTGTGAAGTACGGCCAGATTGCCAAACAAACGCCTTGCTGGGGTCACCATGGAGGCCGCTTTCACCTGCAGAACGCTGAGAGGTGTCCTGAAGACTGACACGCTCCTGAAAACTGGCCGCAAGGGACCACCTCCAGGTATCCCGTACTCTGGTAGATGAGGACTCTTTCATCGCCCTGCCATTTCTATCGCAACGCAGTCACCTAGTACACGGATCAGTATACGGATACAGAATGGCAGAGTACCTATTCATATCAGCACTGTCTCGAATGCTTCGAAACTTCTCCTGCCAAGGTGACGCTCGCTGGGTCTGTAGCGTTCGGATTCATCCCGCGAGCTGCCCACGCAAGGCCAATCCAGGTCCTTGCCGCTTCATGGCCGCCCAAGCGCGTGGTGTGAGGTGTTCTCTGCATCTTGTTACCCCCAATCCCGAGCGAGAGAACCCCCGTGGCCACCACCCCTGTAATGCAGCATCTGCAGTCTCTGAACAGAGTAGAGCCGCAGTCATGTAGGAAGTGGGTGTGCCCAGATCACCCAATTGCCCGTCTCGCCCAGCTAGCATTGCCATCCCGACCGGCCGAAACAATGCCATTCACCGCGTCGACACCCACATGAGCTCCAGTGTCCGCTGTTCACCACCAGGAATTTCTCATGGGTGATTAGATATTTGTTTTTATTTTATTTTATTCTAAACTGGGACCCCTGGCGCGCACTAGAACGGTTCCGCAATCGCCGCACGCCACGCTCGGAATCTCCACGTCCATCACTTGCAACACTAGGAAGGTACGAAGCTACCTTGGCGACGGTACCGATACGGACAGCTTCCTCCACTTCAGCTCAGCAAAAGGTAAGGTAGCGTTTAAGGTGAGGCATGCACGCACAAGAGACCACCTTGTATCCCTACTCCTCCGTACCTCATCTCGACCCAACCCTTCGTCTGCCTCACATCATCCTGCGTCGGCGAACACAAGGTACCTCCACTTCAGCTACCTTTTCTTACGCTACGGATACCGTACTTGCGTACCTACCTTCCTAAGCTTACCTCACCTCCACCGTCTCGACTGTCGGTCCCTTCCTTCCTTACCTTAGCTTACACGGGCCACACCTTCCCTTCCCCCCTTTGGACCTACCTATATCAACTTGGACACCTACTTCCTTCCACCTGCTTGCTCGCCCAACTTTTTTTTCCTCCCACCCACATTCGCATTCCATCATTGTTTTTCTTCCCATCAAGCTCGACTTCTGCGAATCTCTGCGACTCTCCTCCATCTTCGCACCTTCATCACTGGTCAAGACCTTGCGTTGACCGATTCTTTCCCTCTTACCTACCACAAACAATTTTACCTCGTATCCTACTCATCACCACCCGACCGATCGCAAAAATGGCTGCCGCTCGCTCTGCCTTCCGTCTCACCACCCGCTTCGCTCCTCGCGTCGCCATCCGCAGCCAGGCTGCCCGTCCCTTCTCCGTCTCTGCTCGCGCCTTCAAGAGCGACGTTGTCAGTGAGAAGGAGGTTCCTGTCTCTGTCTACGCTCCTGATGCCAAGGGCACTGGTCAATCCGATCACTTCTCCATTCCCGTCCGCGAGCATGACTCTCGCCCTCCCACCGAGTCCCCCGTCCCCGGACCTGAAAACGACGATGTCGTCCCCCTCACCCGTAAGACCTTCGACTCTATGCCTCCCATGATGCAGAAGCTTTCTGTCATGGGTAAGACCATTGTGGTCACCGGGTACGTTTTCCCCCTTCAACTGATACCAATTGCGAGACCACTGCTCCAATTGATTATTTTGCCCCCGAAATAAAAAGCAATCAAAAAAAAAACCACGACTAACTTCATATTCACAGTGGTGCCCGTGGTCTGGGCAACTACATGGCTCGTGCCTGTGCTGAGGCCGGTGCCAAGGCCCTGGTTATCTTCGATGCCAACCAGGAGTTGGGTGACGAGGCTGCTGCTGAGCTGCACCAGAAGACTGGCTTGCCCGTCACCTTCTTTAAGGTGGATGTCCGTGACGGCGCTGCCATTAACGCTGCAGTCGACTCCGTGGTTGAGCTCTACGGCGCCCCTGATGTTCTGGTCAACTCTGCCGGTATCGCTGAGTACGTCATAATCCCCATAATGCAGCGTGCACAAAACGCACAGCAGTACCTGCCCCTTGTCACTTAGCGAGACCCACTAACACTCCCTCTTCGAACAGCTCCAACATCAAGGCCGAGACTTACGACCCCGCCATGTTCCGCCGTCTTATCGACATCAACCTGACTGGTTCCTTCCTCATGTCCCAGGCTGTTGGCCGCGCCATGATGAAGGCTGGCAAGCCTGGCTCCATCATCCTGGTCGCCTCCATGTCTGGCAGCATTGTCAACTACCCCCAGGAGCAGTCCTGCTACAACGCCTCCAAGGCCGGTGTCATCCAGTTCGGCAAGTCCCTTGCTGCTGAGTGGGCCAAGTACAACATTCGCGTCAACTGCATCTCCCCTGGCTACATGGACACTGCCCTCAACCGTGTCCCTGCCCTTGACGCCCAGAAGAAGATCTGGAAGTCCCTCACTCCCCAGGACCGCCTTGGCGCTGTCGACGACCTCAACGGTCTCTGCGTCTTCCTGGCTTCCGATGCCTCTAGCTTCATGACTGGATCCAACGTCATCATCGATGGTGGTTATACTTGCTACTAAGCCTATACATCAAGTATGGCCATTCCCCGAGCTTTGCTCTGTTGCATTGCCCTAGGTCAGGTCTGGCATGTACCTAGCGAGTATTGAGCTTGCAGGCTGCGCCCCGTCATGCAGCTACGATGAAGAGCATCGCTGATCCACGCAGACGGTATGTTTGCCATGGGCAAATGTGATACCGGTGGAACCAGCATCATCGCTCCGACATGGTCGTCTACACTACGGCGACTTCGTGCCGATTTCTTACTGTCAATGCTTTAATTTTCCTTTTGCAGACCCGACAAAAGTCTTCCGGGACTATACCCCCCAGTGGTCCAAGGGTCACACAGCACCCATTCAGCTCATTGACTCTCGACTGTCAGCCATCATTTCTCTCTCTCGCGCGCAAGTGTTTGTCCTCAAGCAGGCAAGGTAGTTTCAGGAGTCAACAGGAACAAACCAAAAAGATTTGGGGATTTGGACTAGAGGTTCCTTTTTTTCAATGGTTTTGGGTCTTGCCCCCCTCGGTGGCTTTGGGCAAACCAGACTTTGCACAAGAGAGGATAGAGAGGGACGGACAGGAAGATGGATTTTGGGAATTGGACTCTGGGATTCCCCGGTAGACAGGACAGATCAGACAAGAGAAGTTTCGCAGGATAGAATCCAAAGAGAAAAGACACGTCTTTCGTGTTACGTCACTTTTATTTTAGTGTTTCTCCCCTTCGAGCCCTCGTGGAATGCAACGTGACGGTGACCTTTTTGTGAACCCGAGTGAGTTTGTGGGGTACGGGGGAGTGAGGCTGTCTTTCTCACATTCCAGATTGAGTTTTGCTGGTGACATTATAGGTGAGGCTTGATCTCGAGGCTTTGTGTGATGGTTGAAGTTGCACGGATTGAAATCCCCCCTTGGAAAAAGGTGTCCCATGACTTGGATGCCAAGAATGGAATTTTGTCGTCACAGGTTGCCTTACATAATGTAGCTTCAGCTCCAGCTTCGACTCGGAAGAAAAAGGGTGGGTGGAAGGGACGGGAGAGATCTTCTTCGGCCCGAGCCCATGCCCACACCGAAGGAAACAAGCTTTCGAATGCGGGATCGTAGAAACATAAAACTGTACCGATGATCATCGTGGAAACTTGACGACGATCGTGGGCTTCACTTCAGGGGGTGGGATGCTCCAGGGATTAGAGCTAGGTGCACTATAACTACCTTACCTAGGGTCAAGGGGGAGAGGAATCTAGCCTTATCGTGAGGTGGGTTGAATTTGAGTTGCCTCCGTCTCCACAGCGGGAAGAAAAGCACAGGTTGCGTTGAATGATGGTGTGCTCGTTGGCTCCACCTCACGATACCTCCGAAATCCCAGGTCCTAGGCGCAGTATCGTGGAGCTAAAAAAAAAAAAACGGAGGGGGGGGGGGGGCAACCTGTCAGAATCCACACTCTCCCGTCCGGATTCAACTCCGATTGAGAACCGTGCATTCTAGGCTGGTCCATGTCGAGAACATATACTTCTTCTCAGCAAAAGATGTATAGAAAGAAGAATAGCGACACTTTCTGGCAATGGTGTTTCTCTCATCTCAGTTGATTATATTTTACAGCTGGGGGTTGGAAAACAAAGTCGTCATCCTGCTTGCTAATTCTCATGGCCGTCCTCCTCAACGCCTGGGTATTCGCCATCCCAATAAAAAAGTACAGTTTTTATCACATTTTCTCCCACTCTCTTGCAATCTCTCTGTAGTCTGAGCCACGATGTCGCTTACTGCAATTTCCCTGGACATTTTGCGGCCTCCTGAGCTCACTGTCATATGCCAAGCCAAACGAACCTCGCCAGACTGGACCTAGAACACCTCAACAGTCAAGTCTCTGCAACGGAACACCATGCATAACGCATCTCAAGCAGGCAGGCTACTGGAATGCCCCTACAAGTCTCTTTCAGACTCGGCAAATTCAATGAGGGAGAAAACGTGAGACCGCTATGAAATCCCGTGTCAGTAGCCACAATGGTGGTCAGGAGTAGGGTAGAAAACTTACCAGAACCTTATTCTCGGTCATAATCTCATAGAGGCGGGGAAGAACGTTGCGGAACAGGCGCTCGTTCCGGCCACCAGCCTCACCTCCAAGCTCATGCTGCTTAAGTAGATCCTCCTGAGCACTTGTTTTAACCACATTGCGGGCAATGTTACGTAGAATCAGTACCGCGCTGAGAGGAATGCCGGCTGCTTGAGGAGGAGCTGCAGGGTTCTGCTCATCAGGAGCTGTAGCCGTCTCCTCGAAGTGAACCACAAGACTGTCACTAGGCTGAGGCCCCGCTTGCGCCTTCTTCTCATTGATGGCGATGCCGTTGAAGCTCTGGCAGCAATGGGTTTGAAGATGGTGGCCCATGAGGGCGAGCTTCATCTTTGTAGGCTTCTTGTACTTCGTACAATCGGCCCACTGGCATTTGAGCTCTTCCTCCTTGTTGTCGAAACCACCCTTATCGTTCCGAATCCACTTGAGATGGGTAGAGACGACATGCTTCCACATGGTCTCCTTGGTTCCGAAGAAGTGGCCGCACTTTTCGTTGGGCCGACCAGAAGCAGCGTCCCACAGACAGCGGACAAAGACCTGGCCGTCCAGGCCCACAGGCCGGAGTCGGCACTGGATTCCTCGGATAATGAACTTCTGCTGGACCTGGCCAGGATTTCCAGTGCCAGCCCAGACTTCAGCCTTGGAGCTCTTATACGCCGCACAGCTGTTTCTGATGAAGTCCGCTGGAGTGATGAGAGGCTGGTCAATGGCCTGGAGCGCCGCCTTGAAGGCAGTTTGGTACGCCTGCCAAGCTGCGATTTGGGTGACGAAGGATTCATTAACTTCCTCGAAGAAGCACTTGACCCATTGGTTGCATCGTTCAGGCTCCTCTAGCTTCAACAGATCCTGTAACAGGTCTTCGGGCATAGCGGCCGGGTCGCTGCTGATGAGCGGTTTCACTGCAGGCTTCAGAACCTCTTCGACCTGGTATCGCCTAGCATTGTGCGAGAGGAGACGGACAAGATGATGAATTAGGTGCTCGCAGTTGAGAGACTTGACCAGATTATCAACGTTGCCGACAACTGCAGTGTACTGGTAGAGGAAGTCGAGGCAGGCATCTTTGAGCTCGTCGTCGTTGAGAAGCATGAGCTCGCTAATCTTGGTCAAAATGGCCGTAGGAACCTTGTCCAACCTGTTGGTAGCTTCGAGGTTCATCGAGATACGTCCAAGAGCGCGAAGAGCCGTAAGAATGATACCCCGATCGTCAGAGCCCTTCAGTTGCTTCATGAGAACTTTGTAGAGAGGGTCGCGAGAATCAATCTCCAAGTAGGGTGTCAATGCCTCTGCAATGTCCAACATTTGATGCTTCAGCTCAACCAACCACTCATGTTTGGGGAGGCTCAAGACAATGCAAATCAAGTCTTTGATCGGTAGAAAGTCGGCCAAATGTGAAGCATTCTCACGGAGCTGCGACATGTTCCTCAAAGTCAAAGCAGCCTCATTGACGAGGACCATCTGATCAGATAGGTGCTCGGGCACAATGAGTTCGTTAACTTCCTTTGGCTCCAGCATATCGATACGTTCCAGGATATCCTCGGTTCCTTCGTTGCCATCGAGGGTGTCGAAGTTATCGGCGGCATTCTGCGAAACCCAGGAGATCTTCCACTTGACGTCATAGAAAATGCTGCCAATCTCTAGAACCTTTTCGACGAGACCTTCGCTGAGGCCGGGGAAACCTTCGAACTTGAATTTGTCGTGACGTTCATAACTGATCTTGACCAAGTGGTAAAGCGCGAATTGTTGCTCTTCGAAGATGGCAGAGCGCAGAGCCATCAGACAGCGAATATAGATATTGGGTCCTTCGAATCCAACTAAAGGCAAGTTAGCTACTTGATACACATAGACAAGAGAACAGGGCTATATTTACCCCCTGGATAGGGTCCACTGCGGCGAGGAGGCTCTAGGAGGGAGCGCGCCACTTGTCGGCGGCGAGCGAACTCGGCCGGATTGTTGCTTGGTGTATCGACAGGGCGTATGGGGAGAACATGCTGCTGGTTCGGTGGCTGTAGCGAGCGCGGAAGGTATGATTCAACGGATGCTGACGTGTTTTCTGGATTGGGCGGGTTGTAGCTGCCGCTAGGTCCCCTCGGTGGAGCTCTTGGCTGGTGAGGAAGAGGCACAGGAGTGTGCTGAACTTGTTGCGGGGTTCCATGATGACTGCTTGAATGGCCGCCTGGGGTAGGAGTGTTGAGGTGGCTTGGCTGTTGACCAGAGACGTGGCGAGTCGGCCTAGCGGGACCCGTCTCGGGTTGAAAGATGACTCTCTGGGGCGGTGCTTCACGCAGACCACGAGAGGCTCTCACGCTAGATGTCGGCGCCGCATCTGGAGTCGGGCGCTCTCGTGTAGGGGTGCCATCGTCGCCGGAAGCCGCGGCAGAGTCAGCAGCGGTGCCACTGTCGCGCTTAGCACCGCGAAAGTTCTCTCTGGTTCGAGACAAGAGACCACCGCCCTTAGCAGAGACATCTTCCAAAATGTCCTTTGGGGGAGGTTCCTTGCCGTGGAAGAATTTGATCTCGTAGGCAGCAAGGTTTTTGTAGTACTTCTCCTTCAGCGAGAAGGCAGTTGAGGCGACGTTGGACGAGTGGATGCCGAGCTGTTCCGCCATCCGGCGCCAGGCCAACTTCTCATCAGACACCTTATCATAGCCACCGTTCGCACAGATGTGGGTGAAAGTCTTATAGAGATCGAGGTATACCGGTCCGACCTTAGGCTCAGCCTCTAGAGCAGTGCCCCGCTCCTGGTGGTAGGCCTTCAGTTTGGCCATGAAATCCTCATACTCGGGGGTTCGGCTGATAGCATGGAGCTCGACCTCAGCTTCTTTGGGCGCCATGATGGGTTGATCGATCGGGCAGGCTGCTGTTCCCTTATTAGTAGATGCGCAAACGGGAATGTACGTTCCGACCGTGGCAAACTGACAGATAGCCTGCGAGTAAAGCTGGATTTACTTATTCGAGATCGTAGCCCGCTGTGAGGCTCGCAGACGAACTTTGAGTCCTTCCACAGGGCAAAGGTTGTTGGAAAAGGTTGCGCGAGGTGTTGCGACAAGAACTGTCTGATTCTTGTGTTGTTAAACGCGTTGTCGACACCCAATGGAATAGGGTGGGGATGAAGAGTGCTCTTGCGCAAGTTCAGGGCCCTCTGCGATCGGTAGTGATGCGCCGGGAGAACCAACCAACCGTGTTTTGCCTTTACGCGACGTTGAAAAACCCCCGGCCACCTCTGGGCTAATCTTCACGTGACTCTAAGCTCTATCGAATGGTCCCTGCGCCAAGGGCACCACTCAAATCCCAAATTGGACTAGATCCACATGAGCTGCACCTTCCATCTGCACCTTGGGCATGGGTGGAAAGAGGCCGAACCCCTGCTCGGACTGTCACTTGCCTACCCAGTTCTCCAAAGTCAAGGTACCTCCCAATTGGTCCTTCAACCACTACGTTACTCAACCTCATCTCTTGAGGCCTGCGATTGCCCCCAATCTATTCCTCAAACTCTCATGCCGTGGGAATCTTCGTTCGTCATTGCTTTGATCTACCCAATCGATCCTTCGATACGTGTCTAAGGACCCTATCGCCAGATCGACATGCTATACACCCATGCCTCCTGTTATTAACTCCGCAGTTCGTTGTCGTCGATACCTTGACCGGGCTCGTTTTCTCGGGCTACAGACATCCTTGAAGGTTCTTCTTTTGCAACATATGATAGTCAGAAGCGCGAATTTGTGTATTGTCAACCATGCCGCCCAAGGGACAGAAACTACAGAACTGGACGTTTACGTTGGTCTACGCGGCAGTCTCTGAGAGACGTCACCATGAGAAAGACTGGTTATGCACATCCAATGTCGAAAATGCCGTCCTTAACTTGAAACAGGAGAAACTTCTCGCAGATGCTATGGGATCCCGAGGAAATGCCAACAGGGAGCCAAACCATGTTCTCATCGTGCCGAGACAAGGTGCGCAGGCTGTAAGTCGCCTCATATTCTAAACAGGATAAGCCTGTTGACAGAATGTAGCTCAAGCTCGGACTTGGCAGTCGGGATGGAGCTATTCCAAGAGACGCCGAGTACATGCTGGGCTACTGCCCCGGAACTAACATCCTGGTCATTAGAGAGAGCCTCCGCATTGTAGGTTCGCATTCTTTGCCCGTACCGGGGATGACTACTAACCATGTATAGGTCGATCAACAGGTTCGTCTGAGATTCAAAAGCCAGAGTGATACAGACCAAATACTAGGTCTTTTTCAAAGTCTTGGCTTCCAGGCCAGGCCAATGCAATCATCTCGACGTCAACCAACTCCACTGCAACGATTTCGGTCATCTTCGGTTGCAGGTGAAATCCATACTTCTACCACGACCCAGCCTTACTCCTCTAGGCATAATGCAAGTCTGATGCGTCAGGACTCCCAACATCGGTTGATCTCCCCTCTGGAGACTCAATTCCTTCCGGAAGGAAGCCACTCAATACCTCGAGCCAGTAGTGTAGCTCCGCAGACATACCGGCCTCTAACGTCCGTTAGTCAACGCGCAGGGTCTGTTCACCAGTCCTCACATGGATTTGCGACACCTCACACCTTCAACCGATCTCGCACTACATTCACAGATATCCCGCACGAATACGTATCGCATATAGCTTCGCCGAATACAGAGTTCATGTCCGCGGTCCCTACGCCTTCAACGATTTCCCGCCAGCGGACATCGATGCGCTCACCGCCAGCTCTGAAGGCCGTCCGTAACTGGAACCTCAGTCCATCAGCCGATGAAGTCGCGTTCGCCAAGTACGATGAACAAACAACTAGGCCTAGTTCTAGCGCTCAGATTCAGGACATGCTTCCTCCCCGCCGTCAGCTTCCATTCCCAGTCGGAAGTGGGACAGAGAAAAAGAGCCCAGGCACCACGCACCCCGGGACTCCAGAGCTCAATCAAGACTCCCAGGGTGTGAGCAAAGAGGGACAAATTCTCAGACCTCGTACAACATGTAACGAACCTACTGAAGGCCCAGGATCGGCGGAGCGAGGCAAAGGAGCGCAAACGACCAGGAACAACTTCGTCAAGAGAAAAGAAGCCGGTGTGATCGACAATACATCTTACAAGAAGCAAAAGTGTTCTTCCCAAACGACGTTGATTTCCACATCACCAGTCCCGCTGCCAAATATTTCGTCTGCTCATTTCCAACGCAGAGCGATATCACGGGCTCCAAGCCTTGCCATCGGGCAAGAGCAACGGCCATTGCCGGAAAGTATTGAGAGTGGCGGTATCAACCATGGGATAAAAGAAGCGGTCGCTTATGCATCGGTGAACACAATGGAATCCGCAGAGATTGAGATTGTCGGACGTGCCCAAGGTACGAATAGTAGAGGGTCATTTAGTGTGGGTGCGCGTCCAACAATGTCGGTGGAAGGAGGCAACCAGGTCCCGCCAACCCGTGTCATGATACCAGCACAGCGCGCAGAAGGAATCGACGCCAGCGTTGACATGCCGCGGCAGGTGTTGACAAATATGGACCATAGCACCCAAACCGAGCCTGTTCCCTCTGGTTCCTCTGAAAATGAGGAAGCACTTTTCATCGCAAGATTCAAATTGATGTGGGACATCAGAAATCTACACCAAACATCTTTCCATCGTTTGCTCGACACTTCCAAGCCAAATCATCGCATCAGCGAAAAGAGAGTACTGGAGGAATTGGAGCAGAGTGCTATTGATCTCTGCCAGGTCGCGATTGACCGCTACGGTCCTGAAGTGGGCAATATACCGTATGAGAAGCTCCTGAAAGCTATCATGGTTCCGGGATACTGAGCGAATGTGATGTTTAACAAGACAAGATTACGCCTCGGGGCGCGACTGATTTGACTTGACAGGGAGTATTCTGAATGGATTGCATTGATGGCATGTGATGGACGTGTTACGAATGGAGGCCAGGTAGTTTTATCACGTCATCATGCGATTCAGTTAATGAGAGAATGAGAATCACGGGTTCTATGCTACAAAAATATCGATCAATCGCCTCTTCCCGAAGATCTGCATACCGGCATGGAGCCGCCGATCTTACGATGAACTCTCAGCCAGGTTCACGACAGTATTTAGTGAATCGCAATATCTCTCATTCTTCGCGTCCTATAATTCAACCCAGTGCTCTAGGCTCTCGCAATTGCTGCACTCGTCGACTATTGGTGTTGTTTTGGGTGTGTGTATGTGAGTGTGTAGTCGAGGGAGTGATGAAGGATGATGGAGGTTGTAGGGTGACACCAGCCCTTGAAACCTCGCTGCCTTGATCTCTTTCATGTAGACACCATCATATGCCAATATCGCGTCCATTGCCGCCCGGAATCCATTTTATGGAAGATGTCTTTGATCAGACGAGATACGGGTCTCAATGTATCGGCAATAAGCGTGTCCAGAAAGTGGACTTTTCTTATCCCCTTTGCGACATGACGAACATCACTGATTATTTGGTGACGCTTCATTCCGACGACTACCTGGACAAAGTCACCTGACTCTGTGACTACTATCCAGGAAACGGACCCCACAAGAGTGAATCGAAGCGCCGTTTTTCCCCTTCGAGGCCGTCTCAAGCAGCCAGGCATCTCTGAAGGGGGTAGTGTGTGTGTGTGTTTCTGTGTTGGGGGGGGGAGTGCGATGATGCGTATCATTCACATGTAATCCTTCTCATCCTTGGCCAAGCTGATTACCACGATGGGTATCTCTCCATCGTACTCGATGTCCGAGTAGTCGAACTCGACATATCTCACCAGTTCGGGCACCCCGTTATCCCAGTTGGCGGCTGTGTATTCCGAAAGCACCTCGGGTTCGGACCACCCAAGTTCGCTCGGGCTATAGTCGGTCATATCGATCTCTACGTCCTCGCTGTAGTCGGCCATGATGAGATCGATGTCTCCGATATAATCAGGCATGGGGATATCGTCATCGTCTTCACGAACATCGGCCACGTCTGCCATAATGACGTCGTCATCTCTGTCGTATTCAGCCGTGATGATATCGCCGTCCCCAGAGTTTCCAAGGGGAGAGGGGTCGGTCATGACGATATCATCGTCTTCGGAGTCGTAGTCGCTGTCGTAGAGGACGAACTTGTCATCCGGGAAGCCAAGGAAGAAGCCAGGTCCAGAGTAGCTCTTACTATCGCTGCCCTCACTGGCCTTACCGGCGACGACGAACTCCTCGCCGCCCGAGGAGTACCCGCTATCCGACCACCTGGAACTCCAGGAGCGGGACCTGGCGTACCTAGCCTTCGGCCCAGGCGAGGAACGGGGCCCGCTGCAGAGGCCGACGTCAGACTCTTGCTTGTAGCGCGGTGAATCTGTGTCAGGGCAGATGGCGTACTCCTCTGAGATGTCATCGTCCAGGGGGTGTTCGTCGTTGATGACATCCTTGCTAGAATTGGAGGAGGGAGGAGAGGGAGGGAAGAGTGGGATGTTATTGCCGCGCTTTGAGGTGGCAATGAAGTACAAGACTGGAGTCTGGCGTTCTGGGCAACGAGGGGCGTCGACGCCGATTCTGGTGCTCCAGCTGCGAGATCTACGATACTTGGCCTTGGGACCTGGAGAGGAGACGGGGCCGTTTGTGAGGTCGAGGCTCCAGTCCCGGCGGTGCTTTGAGATGCGTTGGTTAAGGGTCATGGTTGAGGCTGGCGCTCCTGGGGAAGTGACGGCGGTTGTGGTGGTGGCCATGGTGGTGGTCTTGAGAGCAGAGTTGATGATGTCGATGGCGTACTTGTTGCTGACGTTGTAGATTGACTCCATTTTTTTGACTCTGGACTCTTTGATCTGAGGGTAGAGTGAAGAGTGTTGTTGCTGTCAGGTCTTGCGTAAGTGGGTTGTGCGTGAGTAGGATATAGTAAGTTGGGTGTAGCAAGGCTTCAAGGCTGGGCTATGTATGTGGGAACTGAATAGGATGAGTATGTAAGTGGTATGTTAGTGGAATGTAGGATGGAAAGGATGCCAGGAATGATGGGAGAGAAGTTGCCTCTAAATAGGTAGGAGATGATCTGGTAAGATTCTCAAGGTACCGGGGAATCAGGGAGGTTTGGCATCAACGGAGATAGGTCCCCGGTACGGCTTAAGTCAAGGAGATATCGTGAGTTTTGGTCCATAGAGGTTGTTGATCCATCAGAGCTCGTACTTTCCACGATTCCAGCGAGGATAGTTCAAAAGAAAAGAGAAGAAAAGCCCTCCCTTCCCCCCAACTGGAAGCGGATGGCGTGTATGACAAGGGCGACGGGACCCTCTTTCGTGAACCGGGGAGGCTGCTAAACATTCGGAGATGGGTTGGCGGATCACCTTACGGAGATATTTTTATGGGCAGTAAGGTTCCTTTGGGCTCGATAAAAGACTGCGGGACCGGGCTCAGAAACTACAGACCAGAGTGCGGTGGAGGTAGGATGCTCACAGCTGTATTTAGACGTGGTCAACTAGACGAAGAAACCCCAGACCTTGTCTGGAGATAGTATCCCTCACTGTGTCATGGCCGCTGGGTTGATGCGGATAGCGGCCGGTATTCATCTACAGTGTAGCTTTGCTGGATCACCCATCTCGATGCCTCCGCTTACACAGGTGTCAGTCGAGGGGGAGATCAAGGGGATCTTGAATGGGATCGCATATCCAACCATGAGAAATCACGACAATAAAGTCACCATAGCCCAGGAATCAGCAGGGTGATTAGGGACGCAGAACCTCATTTCTCTTCTTCCCAATGCAAGTAAGTAGTGAGCGCCAAGGATATCAAGACCCGGCGAAAGTCCCTGTCTCTTCCATGCCCAATCACTTTTTGTTCCGCTAATTCTAACATACGACTAACTCCTCGCCCCCAAAAAGTAGTCGCTCAAGCAAACCCAAAGCCTTGCGCGTTCTCCAATGCCATGGAAAGTCTTTCTCTCAGGACATCTTTATCTTTGTACTCTGGTAGCAATAGCGTACCGTAACATGTGTATGCGGTGGGCAAATGTCCACCCTCGCCTTCCTCTTCGCCGTTCCTTTGAACGACAAATTGCATATTCTTCATGCCGCCGACGGGCACACGGTCCGACGCGGTGACGAACTCCAGCAGCCGTCTCTTCATCTTCTCGTCGTAGCGCTTAACGATGGACCAGAAGTCTCGGACGCCGCGGTGGGTCGCGTCCCAGCCGACGTATCTGGTATATCTTCGCAATTCAGAAATGTCAATCTCCTGGACACCTTCCACGAGTGATTGGAGAAGTGGCGGAGTCAGAATACCGAGTGCCTTGGGATGTAAACAAGCTCGGAATCCACGCTCAAAGGCTTCGTACTGCGGGCGAACAGAGACATCTGTCAGGTACTTGATGTAATCGCTGACGTACGCATTCCTGTTCTCGTTGGTGACGAGCGGAGCATCCTCAGGATTCCCATCCACAAGCGACACCTTAGCAGTCGCCTCGAACTGTGGCCAGCTGCTAGCCTTTCCATCCATCTCCCGGGAAATGGGCTGCCCAAACATGGACACGGAGAATTCGTATGTGCGTGCGAAGACGTCTTCGACAAGACCCTGTTTCTCGTCCCATTCAAGTAACGTCGTCAGTCCCATTGCGAGGTCTGGCCATCCGTCGGCAATATGGTGCAACTCATCCACAGGCTCACCCAGGAGCTTGCGGTAGAGCGCCTTGGGAAATGTGATGGGAAGCGTCAGGCCATTGTAGACAGCCAATGATACCAACAGTCCAAGAATCTCAAACTTCCAGGCTGGTACGACGGAGCCGGGGACGAACCAGGTCATGCGGGTCCGGTCGTCAACCGTGAAAGCGCCATAATCGGGATTGAGGCATTCAGCAACAGCAAGTCGGAAGAACTCCTGCTGAACTCCGCCCGAATCGAATCCCTCTTCGCCGGCGTCCTCGCCAAGATGAATCTTGAGCGGCCTATGTAGTTCTCTAGCTTCTCGCCGCCAGAGTTGATCGAAAGCATCCCTAATAACGTTCTTACGACTAATCTCAAGGATCAGATACTTTGAAGAGGCTGTTTTAAGAAGGTCCTGTAGAACAAGCTTGTGGTGGGGATTGGTGATGAGGCCTCCGGTAGCAACAATCGCTTTCATACGTGTTTGGAGCGAGCTCGATTCCTCATAGCTTCGGCTCATCTTCGAGAAGTTGATGGATCGGAAGTACGACACCAAGGTAGATGGTTCAAAGATGAAGGGAAAGTCCAATAGGTGCTTCTTCTGTCTCGAGGAGGTATGGGTGAGCCAGGCGACAGGCATATTGATCGAGTCCAACCTCTCAGCGAAGTAATCCACGCGGAATTGAATGTCTCCAAGAAGCAAGTCTTGTCGTTTCTCGTCTGATATGGCGGTCAGCTACAGGACATTTCCCAAGCGCAATGATAAAACGACTTACACATAGCAGCAATCAGTGACAGCGCTCCACCGAAGGAGCTGTCGTATGAGATCTCCGGCTGGCCATCCCATTGTTGAAGCATCACCGTCTTGGCCCAGTCTAGTAGTAGTGTAGAAACCCTCGATTCGTGACCAGCTCGCTCGAGCTGCCCCACCCCAGGAGTGGAAGATGAGTATGAGTTAAGGAGGTCGAGTTGGGACAGAAGCGGCCGAAGGGCGTCAAATTCCTCCTTGTTGTCCTCGAGGTCGTCATCTTGCGCAGCCATATCTGCAAAACACTTACGGGCGGATATGGCGGCGAACAAACGCCTCGCCAGCCTGAGTGCCAGGTCGTTCGAGAAGGCATCCTCATAAAGAAGGCAGAGCCAAGCTGGCTGCCGCGCGAGAGCACCGCTTCCAGCGAGCGTTAGTCCATTAGAACGGATCCGTGACATGTCGAACAGAATTCTGGAGTCTGTAATCAACGGGGCCGCGGCCACTAACGCGTGGAGGCATATCGACAGCAACTGGCCTGCCTCAACATTGGCAAGAGATCGGTCGGTTCGGCGGAACGCTCTTGTAGCAGGGGAGCGGAGAGATTGCAGTGACTTGGGTGCTCTGGAAAGGCTTCCAGCGGCCATCCACAAACTGTGAAACACTAGGCTCGGAGCCACTCGAGTGAGCCTCAACATACAGTACCATATAGTGTGAGAATCGAGCAGTTCATCGTCCTTGACAAAGGATGCGACTAAACTGACGGGGTCGCTCAAGATGTTAAACAGGCTTTGCTCAATAAAAAGTTTCCACTGTCTCCGCAGTTTCTTTGGATAGGTAGCTCGGGAGCAATGTTTCCTCTGCATTCTGGAAGCGCGGTCCTTGAGTGTGGTGTACGTGCTGGTAATCCTGGGCGGGTCAAGAAGGTGAGACTCTGATGTGCCGTCGTCCTGGAGAATGTCGCACACAAGATCAACAACCTCGACATTGAGTACTGTCAAGGATTGTGGGAGCAAGCTGTCGGCAATCGATATTTCTAGCGGGTCTTGACTATGTTTGGGATCCTCTGCGGGATGTGCAACCCGCAGAGGTTGAGCTTCTGAGGCCGGCTCATGAGAAGCAGGGATTTCTGCTGGCTGCGGAGGTTTACTATTGACGTAATTCGTACTGGGTATTGAGTCCGGTTCTTGAACAATCGTGACGGCGTGGTTTTGAGGCGGTACGTTATCGAAAAATGATGGTGTGGAGGGGATTTCTGGAATGGCGTAGGGGTTGACGTGAGACGTTTTTGGTGGCCGCAGTGGTTTCTCATGTACTCCTCCATTCAACCTTGGGGAGGACAGGCCGGACGTGACGTCTTCAGGCAGTGAAGATGTCGGGTATGGATCGATGGAGAGTTTCCTACTGGGCTTCGAGTTTGCCCGCACCCTAGTGCTTGAACTCCTCTTAGGTTTGTTAGGCCGTGGGCTGGGCATCGTAGCACTCGAATTGTGCAGTGTCTGCGACCCCTGAGCGAGGACAGTATCTGGCCCTGGGTCCGTGAGTTCGCCCAGATCTTTCCTATCTGCATGCGTCATGGGAGGTGTTTGCTGCATAGGAGTCGACAGGCCTGATGGGTCGCGGAACATTTGCGCTTCTTCTTTGGAGGGACTTTGTGTCGCCTCTGCCTCCAACGCAGCGACCTTTTGGGACATAGCATCCAGGCCAGCTGGGGTGAGCCATTCCAACATCTTGAAGGCGACGGTCCCAAATACATTGGCTGCGAAAGAACGGTAATCCTTGTTGACGGGTCGTTCGGTAACCTTGAATGGAGGGTGTGCAGTGCCCGTTGCTGCATCAAAGTGCGAGCGTTCATGCGTGGAGGATGTTGCTCGACGACCAATTTCCTCGGTACCCTGGGTAGCCCTCGGGGAACTGCCATTCTCGCCATTTATCCTGGCCCCCGAACCTGACTTCCGCCTTCTACCATCCCCTGATGTACCAGATCGCTTCGAAAAGGGGTCGCTGAATGTCGGAGGCGCGGGGTTGGAGGAAAATATGAGGGAGCTCAGGGCGGCCGGTGTTTCTTTCGGTGGGTTGAGGTAGGGACAGAGCCCAGTCTCTGGATTATCCTGGCTGGCCAGGTACACTGCCAAGGTCCTTGCGCTTGTGATGTTGTATCTGCGTATTGGCGCTTTGCCCGCGAGGCGCTTGCGACAGGAGAAGCAGGTCGAGGTTGTACATGACTTGGAGTCGCATCCGTACCGTAGCTGTAGGACATATCTGATCAGGGGGCTCATTAGCATGGAGGACTCGCAACAGAGGTTGGATGACTATTGAATACGCACGTTTCCACGAGGATCTGGAAGTTGTGCCGGCGGCTGGCGCGGTGGATGGCATAGACGCGCTTCGGGTTCTCGATGATCTGGACCATGTCCTTCAGTTCGGCCGGCGCATCAGAGGGTAGGCGCGCGAGAGGCGCATCTTCCCATAGGCCGGCGAGGAGGTCGGCATCAAGGCTGGCTTCGGTCTGAGGGCCCTTCTCAGGACAGCGAACGTCTCGAGTCATGTCATCCGGGTCGCGAAAGTTCTGGGGTATCTGAGGTGGAAGCTGGAAGAGGTAGCTAGCGGCGTGGAAGACGACGAATTGCGCGCGGCAGGGAGCGGCTAGCGAGAAGAGGAGTCGAACAGAATAAGAGGGAACGCAGAGGCGGCTTCGTTGTCGTTGACGTCTAATGGTACACGGATATTACAACCAGTAGGTAGTGAACAGCTGGAGCAAGTAGAAATATGTTGGCGATGGAAGAACAGTCTTCACCCGATGACGGGCAGCGGGTATGGAAGGTAGGTAGGTGGACTAAGGTAGCTCAGTGACCCGGTCGTCAGTGTTGGAGGAGAGACTGGGCACCGTATGGCCACGCCACGAGGCTCGGCGATGACACGGTGCGATTCAATGAAAACGGGGCACGGCTTCCGGGGTCCCTCTGGAAGAGTGGATACGGGAAGCACGGTAGCAGGCAATCAGAACATGGAGGATTCCGCAGAGGGTCCTAATTTAGCATGCGAAATTCCCACTGGCAGGCTACGGCACGTCGATGCGCAAGTTGGGATCAAAGGACGAACCAGGGCAGGGTAGGTACTCTGAGAGTCTGGAGTATGCACCTACGAATACCACAGATGCCTCGTGGTGTTTCTGACATCAGCCGCAAGGTTGCCGTCTTCAAAATTCAAACGCCACATTCCAGTCTCGGCAAGGTCGGCGGTTTCTGCCTCCGACCTTCTTTCCTTTTTTTTCTGGACCCAGCAGAGGTGCCCGCGCCGCCGTCGCCGCTCGGTCGACCCGCTCGAACCGCTCCATCATTGTTCATGAGGGGCCGATGTTGTGCAGACAGCCCGCAACGGTGAATTAGTCATACGAGTTTCCAGATTCCGTACTCCGTACAGTAACTATTTTCCCTGAGTGTGGCGACGGGGGTTCTTTCAGTAGTAGCGTGGGCATGATGCAAGTATTTGTCTGTTTCCTTGGTATTTAGTCAAAGATGTGTATGTGTATTTTCTGGCTGGGTCATGTCCCAGTATCCTTACTGATTGGGCCTCAAGTTTGCTGTTATTCATCAAGATGCCCAAATCGAGGTTTGCGGTAAGGCGCAAGCCCAAGCGCCTACAGACCTCTGCGATGGTGCAGAGAAAGATACCTAGGTACGTTCTATGAAGGTAGGTAGGTACCTGTTTCCATCAAGTAGGTTTAACTCAAAAGACGCGGGACGGCGACCTCTTCCCCAAAACGGTGACAGGTAGACTTGCTGGTGCTTGAGGTGACAGTTTGCCCCCTTCCGGTCCATGCAACCTGCTTCCCGTCATCTTCTATGATATGTCAGCCGGCAAGAAAGAACAAGACAGAAGCCAAAAAAGCCAAAAAAGAAAGAGTGAGGCTTCTCAGTCCAGGTTCTTTGCATGTCCGGTGCTTCGGGAAGGAGAGAATGAGTGTACAGGCCCCCACTTGACAGGGCAGCAACTGCCAGGAACGTGCTAAGGTAAGGGAAATTTCGAGGCGTCCCAGTGGTACAGCCTCTGAGGGACAGCCCAGCCCAAGGGCCCTAGACTGCAAGTGACGTGCCTATCACGTCCTTCCAAACCCCCGCCTAACCCACTAAAGCCCTTGCGAATTTTCCCTTTTAAAATCATTTTCCCCTCCATCCCGCCAGACTTTGACGCACTGCACACAGAGGGACGCCCATCTTTTGCCTCCTTCACTTCCCTTTCTTTTGCGCATCCTGCAAATTCACCTTTGCGCGCAACCGAACTCCCTATTCCAAACAATCCAACACATACTCAACCAACCTCTGAGACAAAAATCAAGCAACAATCACTACTTTTGCACACGACACTCACCATGGCGAGCGTCGATGTTGCCGCCCTCGGCGTTGTTCCTGCAAATGGAGGGGCGACGGCGGCTTCCCACCCCTACACCTGCAACACTTGCTCTGTTGCCTACCGAAACATCGATCTTCAACGAGGCCACATGAAGAGCGACTGGCAGTATGTTACTCTCATTTGACTCCTTCCTAGAGTCATTCCCTCTGTTTTCTGGGCTCAACTTTTCGTCTTGTTTCCGCTGTGTTCCGCTCAGACCAACTGACTGACATCATCTACCCAGCCGATACAACCTCAAGCGCAGAGTCGCCTCTCTCCCTCCCATCGCCTCCGAGGTCTTCAACGAAAAGGTCCTTCAGGCTCGCGCTGTCCAGACCGCCGAGGCAGAGAAGGCCCTCTTCGAGCGCTCCTGCGACGCCTGCCAGAAGTCGTACTCGAGCGAGAACGCCTACCAGAACCACTTGACGAGCCAGAAGCACAAGGTCCGTGTCGCTGCTATTGCTAGACGCAAGGGTGGTGTCGCCGATGATGCCAGCTCCGTCATGAGCTCCACCTTCTCCCTCGGTGAGCCCATCGCCGTCGACAAGGAAAGCGAGTTGGACTCCGAAGCCGAGGAGGAATTCACTCAGGTCGTCGAGGGTCTCAAGAAGGCCAACATCCACGAGTCCCACGACGAGCGCCCCTCGCCCGTCAAGCGCCCCTCCAACCCTCACCTCTCTGCTCAGGGCCAGCGTGATGATGTTTCCATGAACCGCGATTCCGAATCTGCAACCCCTGTGCAGTCCTCCAAGCCAGAGATCGCCTGGACCATCAAGTCCTGCCTCTTCTGCAACTACGAGTCGCCTAGCGTTTCGCTCAACGCCAACCACATGGAGCGATTCCACGACATGTTCATCCCCGAGAAGCAGTACCTTGTTGACCTGGACGGCTTGCTTCAGCATCTGCAGGAGCGCGTTCACGATGGTCACCAGTGCCTGTACTGCTTCAAGACCAAGAAGACGGCCTTTGCTGTGCAGACTCACATGCGTGACAAGGGTCATTGCAAGATTCCCTACGATACGGAGGAGGTTCAGCTGGATATTGGCGACTTCTACGACTTCCGAAGCACCTACTCTGATGGCGAGGAGTCAGATGAGGAGGAAGAGGAGGCCGATGAGAATGGTGGAGCCAAGTTGGGTCTGAAGCGCCCGACCAAGTTGGTTGGAGAGGACGGAGAGGAGGTTGAGCAGGGTGGAGATGATGGCTGGGAGACGGACAGCTCGGCCTCTTCACTGGACTCGGATGAGTTGACGGCCTTCACTGCGGACGGCAAGTACGAACAGTTCGAGCGCCTCGACAAGCACCCTCACCACTCCACCAACGATCCGCGTGCCCGCCACCAGGCCGATGGCTGGCACTCCCACGCCCACAAGCACACTCGCGCTGTCTTCTATGACGAATACGAGCTGCACTTGCCCTCCGGCAAGGCGGTTGGTCACCGCTCTCACAATCGATACTTCAGACAGAACCTGCACAACTACCCCACCGAGGAGGAGCGCGCCGAGCGTCTGGCCATCGAGGCTGGCTCTGGCGATGAGATGGATGTCGATGGTAGAGAGGTTGCCACGACCGGCGACCGCAAGACTCGCAACCGTGCCGTCGCTCGTAGAGACGCTGCAGGCATGGCTGGTGCGACTGACAAGCAGAAGCGCGTTGTCAGAGAGGAAGAGATCAGAGGCCGGAGTACCGCCACCCGTCACCAGAAGCGCTACGATTACAAGGTCGGGGAGAAGTTGAACAACCAGAAGACTTTCTACTACCGCTACCAGGCCGGTGGTTGATCAACTCGCCAATGGTGTCTGGATGAACAAGGCGTTGGACGGATTGATTTCTTTTTTTGCTCAATTACATCGAACCTTCAAAGGAATAGGCATGCATGACGAAGCTTTGATGACCCATACATAGGGAAGGTAGAATCAAAATAGAGGCTATTACTGCCGTAAGATCGCTGTGACTGTGAAGTGAGGTGATGTTAATTGCGACAAGTCATTACTGTAGTGGTGGCTGTTGTGGGGGTTTGCTACTGGCTATGCATGTAATGAAACGTCAATAACCGTTTGTTGCATAATCCCAGGCAAATTCGGACCTTCACATACGCTCATCACCTCCTGAGAGCTTGCTCATCTGCAATCGTAATTCAACACCAGTGGCAATGAATGTCACATTTTCAAAACAACAATCTAGTTCCCATGTTTGGCTTCTAAAATGTTGAAACACATCTTTAACTGTCGTGCCCTCGCTCGGCGGCCGCTCCTGACGCCGCAGCGATGGATGAGCAGTAGGCCGACTTACAACTCATGGCTTCCCCAACCCGATGCCGACGGCTGGTATGATGGACGGAAACACCCAAGACGACTGGAAGAATTCGACAACGGGAAGACTGCTCGGTCGGGGGAAAAAGAGGACCAGCGCGGCGGCCGGTCTAGCACCAGGCCTTCGCCGTCTCCGCGGTCAGGAGGCGCACCCGACAGACGACCCGGCGGCGATTTCATCTCAAGAAATTCTAGAGATGCGCCCCGTAATGATCGTGGGCGGGGTGAGAGGTTTTCAGCGTCACTGCCCAGGAGGAGCCCTCCCCGGCCAAGAAGACTATCCAAGGACGACGGACCGCCGGCACCTAAGAGGAAAGGCGGCGGTTTTGTACTGATGGTGAGTTGAAACAACCTCAGTTCTACCCCCTCCAAAAAGGAGGAGTTCATAGTTGGAAGGTCTGTACTAACCATCCCGCCAGCCAAAACTATCCCAAGAAGAACTGGACAAGATCAGCAATCACAAGGACGTCTGGGAATCCAGATCCCTCTACTTCATCCCCCCAAAGAGATCAAAAGAACACCAGCAACCCATCCGCCAACCCAAACCGCCAAGACCCGAACCTCCATCCCGAAGAAACCGCGACGCAACCATGATCGCAAGCCCAGAGTCCATCAAAGCAGCGATCCAAATCTCAGAAAAGGACCTCCGCCTAGCCCGAAGACCGCCCCCACCGGCCCCTGAAATCGAACTCCAAGGCGACGGCGGCACCATCGTCGCAGACCCCATCGCCAACGACGACATCCTCCCGCACGCCCTCGCCGCGCGCTTCTTCTTGTCTCCGCCCGCGACGTTCCTGTACTCGGCCTTTCGCCTCAAACACCACCCGCTCAACACCACCACCCCCGAGATCTGCGTCGTCGGCGCCAGCAACTGCGGGAAATCATCCTTCATCAACGCTCTTACTGGCGCGGCGTCGCTCGCCAAAATAAGCGACCGCGCGGGCAAGACGGTCTCCATGAATGCCTACGGCGTGGGGCCGCTGACGGGCCTTCCCTTTCGGAAACCAGTCGCCTCCCCCTCTTCAGCCGAGGGCGGTAGTGGTGGCGCCACAAAGGAAGAGAAACCAGAACACGGCATAATCCTCGTCGACACCCCAGGCTACGGCTACGCCTCCCACGAAGAATGGGGCCACGAAATCGTCGAATACATCAACAAGCGCACCATGCTCCGCGGCATCATCCTCCTCCTGTCGTCCGAGAAGAAAGTCTCGGAAAAGGACGCCCAAATCGTAAAACTCCTATCCGACGCCGGCCGCCCCGTGATGCTCGTCTTTACGAAAATGGATAAAGCGCTCTCCCGCAAAGCGCGCGAAGAGGGGGGCATCGCGCAGCGGTTACGCGAGGCGGAGCGGTGCTTTGCGCGGACGGGGTGGGATGGCTGGGTGAAGAGGGTGTACATCACCGCGGCGCGGATGGAGCGCGGCGATAAGAGCTGGAAGGTGGATGATGGAACGAGGAGCGGTGCGGCGGGGATGGCGGGTGTGAGGATGGGGGTTCTTGAGTTGGCGGGGGTGAGGGAGTTTGTTGCGCCGGAGAAGGCCAAGGTGGTGGCCAAGGCATTGGCGAAGAAGAAGTCTCAAAGGGCACGGGAGGAGGGAGGAGTAGTTGATGAGGGCGAGAAGACGAGGTTGGAGCCGGGTAAGGCTTTGGAGAGCGATCCGGCAGCGTGGTCTGGGGATGTGGTTTCGTTTGAGGAGCTGGAGAAGAAGTTTGGGGACTGGTCTTCGTGAGCGAGCGGAGGACAGGAGGCTTTTTGTACGACCATGTATGTAAAATAGTGTGATCAGTTATTCAAAGAAGAGAGATACCCTCTAGAGAGCAATGCAACTCATCGTAAGGCATGCACAGAAATATGAGTCGCGGCGGAAATGGGATGTCCAGCAATGATATCAAGGTGAAGTAGTTCACTCGAAAACTGCGGGAGACCCCATTGATGAACCAACGCTACAGACAAGTTCCATCATATGGGTATTCTAGCTAAAAAGAAATTGCAAAAATAGGCCTTCGTTGGCCGTGTGATATCCGTCAAGAACTCCTCATTTCCTCCGTTCCAGAATGAAATCTCAAGTGAGTGACTCGGAAAAAAGTGCAGACTGGTGATCCGCAATTATTCCTTCTCCTTTTCCTTGTCTCCTCCCACACCCGAAACGGTCGAGCGAGCCGTGCCCGGCCTGCTAAGCTGCCGGCGAATTTTCTTCGCGTTCTTCGACTCGAACAAACTCTTCACCCTCCTCAGACGCGCCCAACGTTCTTTGTCCTTGGCTTCTCTCGACTGTTCGTCCTCGTCGCCTGCTGGCTCGGTAGCAGCGCTCGGTGAGTCGTAACCCCCTGGTGTCGACGGCGCCGCAGCGCCTCTACGAACCGGCGTCGAAGGCACCGAGGCGCCTCTATTATGCCACGTCGACCTATTCTTCGGCCGGTCCTCGAGCGCTCCGCGAAGGTAAGCATCATTCTTCAGCACCTGCGTCAGCAACTTCCAAGCCGCCAGACCCGTGTCTGACCCGGGCTTGGCGCTACCCAGACGTTGCGCCACAGGATTCTTCCAAGGACAGAAGAAACGATGCTCTTTGGCCGGGTCGAGATGGTCCATTGGCGCGGGAACGAGGATCTCGCCGTCGGCGCTGACCTCTTTACTCTTGAACATCCATAGACCGAGACGTCGCAAGCAGGTGTGGCACGATGCCGAATTTGGCACTGCGCCAATTCGGGGGTTCGTGAGGCCCTGCCATCCCATCATCGCCAGGGCCAAAGCGACTCTGTTTGGCTCCTTTGGATCTGGAGAGTCCTTGGTTGGCGGTGGGCTTGTGAAGAAGTCTTCCGGCAGCTGGGTGAGAACGTTGTCGATATTGAGACCCTCGGGCAGCCTCAAGTTGAACTCATAGGGAAGGAAGGGTTTCCTTGCACAGAGCTCATCGTAGCGTGTCCGCAAAGCCTCCATGCTGATTTTGGCATTCGTTAGAGATAGCCGGAGTAGCGAATCTAGAAAAGTTAGCTCTTCGTTTCGTCAGAAGGGTCTGTACAAACTCACTATCACACCCCTGTTTTCTCCACAAGCATTCCTCTAGATGTGCCGTGACAATGAGATCGGAGTATTTTTCTACTAGCGCTTCCTCTGCTTCACCAATCAGTTCTGAGTAGAGACGAGGACTGGCGACCATGAACCTACCGACATCCGACGCCACAAGGACAGGTACCTCCTTGCCATCGACTTCGCGTTTGTTCAGCTTCACAACGAGCTCCTTATTACAGAGCGTGCACCGCACACGATCCTTGCCCTGGCATACCCATCCTCTCTTCGCCCATTCGACCTCGTTCACTGCATCGGGTTTTGGTGTCCAGTCCGTGATCTCCTGGAACGATGCTAGTCTCTTCAGGAGCTCGTTCCGGTCGCTAGGTGCAAATTTCGGGGCGTGCTTGACTTCCGTCACGTTGGCAGACCTTGGAACCCACTTCTTCAGCGACACGTTGGAGAAGGTCGTCGATGCACCTGCTCCCGTGGCACGAATCGAAGGGGAGCTGTTGATTGTAGCGGCATTCTTCTCTGTCAGTGCTTGCAGGCGCCGTCGCTTCAACAAGATGTCCTCTTCAATCGACATGCTCGGTTTTGCAGAGGTATCGGCCGTTGTGTTCGTGTTTGTGGAATTCGTGTTGGAGGGCTGGAGGGAAGTCGTCGATGGACGAGGGGATTCGGAGGGCAAGCTCGTAGTGTCGTTCGATTTCGTAGATGCGGAGGATCTGCCCATACCCTGGATAAGGGCGTTGAACTTTCGTTTGGTAGCGTTCATTGTTGCTGCGTGTTTCGATGTAACCGGGGTGGTGGATGTAGGAAAGATGTCTGATCTGACCTGACCCCAGGCGCGAAGATCAAAGGACTGGGAAGAAGACGGAGGCGCAGGAGGTCGCGCGGTCGGGTTTCTTAAGGGAGCTCAAACTCGGTTGTTTGGGCTTTAGAGAGGCTTTCAGTCAGAGTCCTTCGTCATTTACGATATGCTGCACCATCGAATGGATTTCCTAGGAAGAGGATGGCGCTCGGTCGCTAGTTGAAGCCTAGGCGCCCAGCTATGCGAAAGTCAACAAACGGGCAGCTGCTGATCGGGCAATGAGCTGGCCACCCCTGTCGTTTGGATGCAAGCGCTAAAGCACGAGGCGTGGCAACGGGTTACCACTGGTGGCTTACTGCATAGATGCATAAACCAGATTGATAGATATCCACCGATAAGATAAGAACTTTTTGCAAAAGTGAAAGGGCGGGAAGGAAAAAAAAGTTGCGAGCAGGGATCCTGGCACTAAAAATTTGGAGACACCGATCCGCCGGCGCAGAGATCCCACAGAAATTTTCCCAGGTGAGGGAAGACCCAAGACGATTCCACTCTCACCGAGGAATTTGCGACTCGCCGGCTCTTTCAACCTCCACTTACTTTTCTTCTCCTTCTTGCCATTGCAAAGTGTTAAAGCCACCTTCTGGCCCAATACACATGTCTGCGCCTCCATCTTGGTTATTTTCCAACAATTCCACAAAAGCCAACAACACAAGCACCCCTACGGCCTCCGCGACAACACAACCAGACAAGATGGCCAAGGTCAAGGCGGAAAAGATGTCAGAGAAGAAGGTCAAGGCCGGGGCCACCTCCACCAAGCAGGCTCCTCCCGCCCAATTGATGGACCTCGTCGGCTCCTTCCTCTCCGAGAACGCCTTCACCTCCGCCCACGAGGCCTTCCAGAAACAGCGCACCAAGAGCGGCTGGAAGCCTTCCAAGAAGGAGGCAACCCAGCCCAACCTGGTCACCGTCTTCCAGACCTGGCAGACTTCTTCCACCGCTCCGGCCACCAGCGAGAGCTCTAGCGACAGCAGCTCTAGTGAGGATGTCGACATGGCCGATGCAGCTGCGGCCGACAGCGATAGCGACAGCAGCTCCAGCTCCAGCTCCAGCTCTAGCTCCGATTCCGACTCCAGCAGCGACAGCGAGAGCGAAGATGAGAAGCCCAAGCCTAAGCCCAAGCAGAGCCTGAAGCGAAAGGCGCCCGAGTCCGACAGCAGCAGCAGTGATAGCAGCAGCAGCAGCAGCGACAGCGACTCCTCTTCCGACGACTCCAGCTCTGAGGATGAGGCCCCCAAGGCCAAGAAGCAGAGGGTCAAGAAGGACGACAGCAGCTCCTCCTCCGACTCCTCTTCCTCCGACTCCAGCTCGGACAGCTCCAGCGAATCTGACTCCTCCTCCGACTCGGACTCTTCCGACAGCGACTCCGACTCTGACGGTTCCGAGGCCGCAAAGGTGCCACTTCCCGAATCCGGCTCCGACTCTGACTCCTCGTCTTCCTCTTCCGACTCGGATTCCGACTCTGACGAAGACACCAAGAAGAAGGCCAAGAAGACCAACAAGGAAAAGGCATCAACCGACAGCGCCTCCCTGTCCTCCGCAACCCTCGAGAAGACGTCCCCCGAGCTCAAGCCCGAGACCTCCACGGCCGCCGACCCGCCTCTGCCCCCCGACCCCATGACCTACCGCGCCAACAACCGCGGCGGCAAGAACGTCAAGGAGAAGCATGTGCCCAACAAGCCCTTCTCCCGCATCCCCGACGTCGTCAACGTCGACCCCCGCTTCGCCAGCAACGAGTACGTTCCCAACGACTATTCGCAGCGCGCCCACGAGGATCTCATCGTCACCAAGGGCAAGGGCTTCACCAAGGAGAAGAACAAGAAGAAGCGCGGCAGCTACCGCGGTGGTCTGATCGATATCTCCAGCAAGAAGGGCATCAAGTTCGACTAGGGTCCGCTTGCAGCCAGTTTCTTGATGACACACATACGTTCGGTTCTTGGAGTTTTGGGATTCCGAAAATAAGAAGTCAACTTTTTGCGTCCTGGTTTTTTGGTGAAATGAAAAAGGGGAGGGAGGGTCGGTTCACTTTGGCATTGCGTTTATTAGTTAGCCACAAAGCATGACGGTTGTTTCTCGCGAGAGGATGAGAAAGACAAGAGAGAGAGAGAGAGAGAGCTGGGTACGCGGCATAATCACCAGACTCGAGATCAGCCCCCGCGCAACGTTTGCCGTGTAGATAGAAATCAAACGTTTTTACATCTTCAACGCTTCCTTTATATGTCTCATCCCAAGTGTCCCCTTGGGGTCTTCTTCTGCTAGCATTCGGGGTAAGCAGTCAGCGAATGTAGTACTAGAAGACCCCGAGTTAAAGGCACCCGGGGAGGTACTTGACTGTAATGTACACTTTCCAGGTATCGGATAACAGACATAGTTTGAACACTCGTTGGACCGGCAAAGTACCCCTCACACAGATCAGGCTGAGATTGGTGACACAGAGGTCCGGTGGCGCAGTGGGCTGAGATAATAAGCCAAGGCTACAGCCTGATCGATGTTCGGTAGGTAACCGTGCCGGTATCCTCCGCCTCGAAGCATTGGGCCATTGAGTGTCTTTCTCGATACCAAAGCGAAGTATTCACCATCTCACCATTGCGTCCTCGTGGTAGTAGCTTCCAATGTCCGAATAGCAGGCTCGCCGCCGGGGGGGGGGGGGGTTGCTGAGGGGAATGGTCTAGGATACGAGAGAGAGACACACAGAGATGAGATGAGATGAACGAGTGGGGGACCAGAGAAGAACTGCCCAGGCACCCAGGTAAGGCTTCGCGCAAGAGAGGTCCCGGTAAGTATCGGTTTGGCTTCCGCGGCGGCTGGTTCTTGGCTGGGCAGAGGGGAGGCGAGGGGAGGAGAGGGGGAGGAGGGGTATCATCGAATGGATGGCGGGGGGGACTGGCCCACTGCCAACTAACCTTAAAAGCCTAATTCCGGGCTGGCACCAAACCCTAGCCCAAGTTGAAGGTTGAGTTTGATATCAAAGAAACGAGGACTCGGCCGAGAGATCGTTAGGAAGTAAGTGTTTACTCACATACCCAAATTTGGAAGACACGAATTGGGTGGCGAAAGAGAGTTAAAGAGAAAGAGGAACGGCCCGTTGTCGCGGCTGACGCCAAGACTGTTCACACCCACGATGCGGCCCCCCCAAGTTTGAAATTCGTTGTATGAAGGACGCAATAGGTGCAAATGATATGGCGGGTCACAGGAAATCAGGGTCTACACTTGCTGTAGAGGTGAAAGGTCGTATCTTCTGGCCTCGGGGCATGTTATGCGATTGCTTCGCTCTTTTCGGATTGTCGGCATTATCGCAATCTGCTCTACGTTTCCAACGGACGGCGCAAGAGCCAACTTCATTTGCCAGTTTTGATACAGGCATGAATAGTATTGCTTTTTCAATATTCATCAAGACATTCATCGTTGAATCTTCTAAAACCTTCCCTATCTCTGTCTCATGGTATCTCTCAACATAGACCAAGGAAAAGCCGGGCAAAGAACACATAGGCTCCAGCCAGGTCTCTATTTTGAGGTTTCTGGGTGCAACTCCTTGAACTCAGCAAGAATCCAGTCCAAAAACTTCCCCCAACGTTTCTCCCATTCCTCCCGCACTTTCTTGAGCTCGCCTTTTGACATGCAAGAGTGCTCAAGACTCCACTCAATGAGCTGTCGCCAGCCGTACAAGGTCATGTCCGTCTTACCCACCATCGCTTGATAGAAATCATGTGAAAGAGTTGATCTGCGTGGTTACTGGTTAGCTTCTTGCTATATGGTGGCCCGCTTCCGAGTAAGCAATATACATACCTGAATATTGTTCCGTTGTCCGAGTTTAATGTGCAGTGTACGTTGTTGGCGAGCAAATTGTACATTGAGTGGCCCGTAATTCGGGGTGTGAGACCAAGCTCCTCGTTGGAAATTGGGCACACCTCAAGGCAGATACCCCTTTTCTTCATATGCTCCATGATATAAGGGTGCCTGGCCAGAGCAAACCCGTGGCCGATGCGCTTTGAGTTGAGCAAAAGGGCATCTACAAGATTGCCGTCCGTCTCGTTGCCAATATCTGTTGTCTCTCCGCAGTGAAAGAGGAATGGAATATCGACTTTAGGAATAGCTTCTTCGCATTTCTTCCTGAAGGCGAGGAATTCTTCTATGAAATATCGTAAAGGGTGACCCTGTGATTCTTCGCCAACCAGATCGAATCCTGTTCTCGTTAGTTGTCTGCTGACAAGATGTATGCGTTCATTAACTCACCAGCAATCCACTCGGGCCATTTTTGCTTGAACCTGAAACACTCATCGAGGGCAAATGCCACCGTCTCCTTGGGAAAGGACCTAGGGGTGCAGTAGATGACCTTCAGCCCGCCAAAGTAGTCTTTGGTCTCCTTCTGAAACCTTTCGTACTCGTCGATAATTATCTCCATGATACCTTCGTTGCCGATTTGCTGCGTACCGTCGTTGCTCCAGAGTTGATTTGTCTTCATGAAGTTAGGCCGAATCTCGGCATACTGAATGTTGTCGCGGACAAAATCTTCAAGAATGCCTCGTGTGTATTCTCTGTAGGCCTTCTCATAGTTGAAGAGTCCCTTCATCATCCGTGTCCGGCCGTTGAACTTCTCCCATGCTCCCTGGACTGTTTGAAGCTCGTTGTGTGCTTCATCCTCGTGGAAGACAAGTTTTGTTGTGAGCCACTCCTCAGCCTTCATGCCGTTGTAGTGTTCAGGAAATTGGAGGATGAAATCTGAGTATTTCATCATTTGCCTTGGCCGGTCCTTGTTGTCGGCGTAATCGGCATCGAAGAGGTTTCCCTCATTGCCCTTCTCCTTTCCAGCCGCTAAGATGGAAAACTGGATTTCACAACGTTGAAGGTTAGTCTTTGCGGCGCTCGGCGCCAAGGACAAATCGCTATTGATAAACATGCGGGACATGGTCGCGGCGATGCCCAACAACACATGAGGCTGCAGGCAAGCGTTGAAATGGATATGGAGATGTGCTCCCTTTGGCATCTTGACGGCGACTCGGAATAGGCTCGTCTGGTTGATCAAGTCGACGTTTGACAAGAAATGGTCAGCAGCAAACCGCGGATGATTCTGACCACCCCGTCCTTGCCTTGGCTCAGCCTGGTCATAAACCTCCTCCTTGTCCTTTATCTTGAGTTTTTGAATGATGGCGTTAGCCTTCTGCTCCTTGTTTGATGCCAGTGTCTTTGCGCGGAAATCAAATGATAATGTATTCTCGCGCTTCAAGATCTCCTCTCTTTGGCGAACGTAATCGGCTTCTGTATCAAAGGTTGGGCCGGGGGGTTGATCGAGTATGGTATTTACCCGACCCTTAATGGCGGTGCGATTGCCGGTCATCTCGAAGACGTTGCTGATGACGGCATCGAAGACGTTATCGTGAGCTTGGATCATATGTTGGGCCATGTCTATGTCTTCTTGGTGTCTGTGGTGATGAGTGTGATGGTTGAGACGTCGAAGCTTCCGCAGCCTTTTGGATGAGAGTCGTGTGATGGTATTGGCATTGGTGTCCCTTCTACCCTGACCAACCTTTTCGCCAGGTGCATCGTCCTTTTCAATGTTTGAGCACAGGCTGCCCATGAGACTGTAGGGAGAAGTGAATAAAGAAGACGTTCTTTGAAGTGCGCTGCCGGGTAAAGCTGGGATGGCAGAAATTCGGCCAGGCAGTGAATCGGCGGTACACGAGAGGCAGGTGTTGCTTTGTCGGGATGTTCTATCGCCGTGTTTCGAGGATCCACGATCGCAGGGAGACGAAAGTCAATTTAATTGAATGTGCAAAGCTCCTCGGCAGCTCTGACGATCATCATGGGTCCTTTTTCAATCCCCTCTATTGAGTCTTGGGAAGTGGAAAATGTCTATCCTGGTGAGGTAGTGCGATGACAAGCAAAGTAGTAAGAGGGTACGTTTGTCTGCGGTACCAACAAGCGCCCGGCTGTACCTTTAGCTCGGAGGAGATCTCATGCTTGGCCTCAGGTAAGCGCAGCTTCTATGTCAAGCCAGGTGTGAGGAGGTAAGGAAAGTGACATGCGGCGGTTTCCAGCTCAGCTGGAACCACCACCATTCAAAGGTGAGCGCTCCTACCGACTACGAGATCCTAGACCAGGCAGTGGCAGGCTGGCAATGCTGCGACCCAGACCCAAAGAGACGGCACAGATGGATGGAGGTACGTAAGGTGGGCTGGGAGTGACCGTGAATCTGGCGGGCTGGGAGAAACTCCCACAATGAGTGAGGGGCAGGAGGGAGCTGCCTACCTTAGGTACACCCAACTAGACGAGAAAGTCGTACCCAATTCGGCTTAGCTCAGTACAGCCACATGCGCATTTGTTCTTCCGACTGGGCCAATGAATGGGCCTCCACAGGCTGACACGCAGGCGTTCTAAGGTAAGTAGGTACCTCAGCTTCCTCCCAATTCCCTTCCTTCTTCCGACTTGGTTCTACCCATTTCTCTTGACCTATTGGAACCTAAGACGGAAGGACCAGACTTTCGTTGTTTGGCCAATCTTTCCCCTTGCTATCTGACAGGTTCGTTTGGCAGGTGGAGACATTCAGGTTGCATTTTCAACTTTCTGGTCAGGTACAGTTGTTGGAGCTCACGGGATTTCGATTTGCCTTTTCTCACGTGCCATTCACCACAAACGACAAAGAATTTGGCCATCATTGTGAACAGGCATCTCGGGAGTGCTTCCCATCATCCTTCACCTCTTTCAGGGTTATCCTTTGCCGGATCATTAATTTTCTCTATTTTTCCTATTCAATAAAGCCAACTTGCCCGACCCATGAGCGAATACGGTATTCGAGGCCTCTTCTTCACCTCCAAGCTACTGCTTTACCCTTGGAGCCTCAGGTACTCAGCCAACCTCGTCCACATTCGACAACCTGCAATTGTGACATCTCAGCCATGAGGCCGTCACGCCCACCCCTCACGCGACCCCCTTCTAGAACTTCACAATAGGGATACAGGGGGTCATACCTACTCACATGGCAGCCACACCGTTGGAGATCTGCAAACGCCCCGGTACGGGACCTGCTCTACGCACGAGCCATTCCCACTATCCCAGAGAATCGGAATCTTCAACACATGCCCAGCCCCTGTTGGGGTATGACAACGATTAATCCCCTTTTGACCGCGCCAACTTTATCTCAAGGCAGCAAGGCTGCATGTACTCCGTACAGCGCTTCGTCGTTGGCTCCCGCTAGCAGACCTTCGTCCACCTACGGACAGCATACCAACAGCTACGGAGTACGATCCGGCCAGATTCGGAGGCCCCGACAACGGTCACCACACGGTCTCATCTTACCTTACCCGCCGTCTTACCCCCCAGCAGCGGTGGCTTACATCGACAAGCGCCTGCCCTTGATTGCTCCACACATGGGTTAAGCCTCAAAGACTTCACGTTGGACATCCTGTGAGGCCACCTGCCTTTCTTTGACACATTTTCTTTATACAATACGCCGCCCGGTAAATGGGCGATTCTGCATCACACCGGTATCAAGCTTACACCCCTGCCAGTGGCAGGGCGAGACTGATCTCGGGGACAACCAAGATGGGTCAGCACCAAGCGATCCTCCCTATACAATTGTGCTGTGGCTTAGATCACTTTCTGGTGTTTAGTCTCCAGAGTAAGTCGTCAAGTGATGGTCAACCTCACGCCTTGCAAACGAAGATTGGCGACGAGTTGCTACAAAATGCGGATAGCCCCCCGTGAACACTGCCACGCTCGACCGTAAACCGGCTTGGAATCTCACGAGTGGTTGCTGATGAACATGAGCGACAACAAAATGTCCATGACTGTGTCTTCTGTCGGATCTGACCGCAGAAGTCTGTGTGTAATACACCTTCTTCTGTTTTCCATTTCCTGGCCTAGCCTAAGACGCAGTGCTGTTACAGCATTCCAAAGTTCCAAGCTGCGCCGCCGTACACCCGTACACCGGAAAAGAGGATTGGAAAAGTACTCGGACTATGATCCTTGGATTGATTCCTGGCGAAGAAGCCTAGCAGGAGGACCTCAAGAGGAAGGTCATGAAACGAAGTGTACTTGGCCGTGTTGAAGCCACCGGGGTGCTCGGACGCAGACAACATCACTCGATATCGATCCTTCGTACGGAGGAGACCTGCTCCTTTTCAGTAATGCATCTGACGGATCGCCGGCTCACGGCACCATAATTTGACCGAGCTCCTCAACTCCGATACCCTGACAACTTCGCTGCTCCCCTATAATACGACGTGTGAAGCTCCTCAAGTCCGGAATTCCCGGGTGGAGTCAAAACGTCCATGGTGGACATGGGGCTTTGCGTCTCCCAATTGACAGGGAGCCTCGGGAATTCCGCCTAGACGTACGTCAAATCCCGTTGAGACCCATACTCGAGTGGAATACATCTCCTTCTAATCATCGGGATACATACGTACGCCAACCCACATGCCACCTCCGTTATAGTGTCCGGTTCCATTCGGTCTCTCCTTCGGTGCTTCCATTTGTCGATGCTATCTTCAGCTCATCTTCGCCCTGGTTTGCGTCATGCATGCAAGATACCCGCGATCCCTGGCGCTTGTTTCTTCAAATGGGATGAACAGCGGGTCGAATGGGTACGAGATGGAGCCATTCTAGATCGAAGAAGAAGGCCGTTTCCATGTTAACACCACAAGAAACATGTTAGTCAGCGGACAAGCGGAGTATGTAGCTCGTCCTGGAAGTCCGGTGTCCCTGTTCAGATCAGGAACAAGCAATGACATGCGGCAAGGGTTACACTGGGTGAAAATCCCGCGATGGGGTCTCCCTAAGGGGGGCAACGGCTCGGACACCGAGCGAGGATCTTCATGCCCGGCCGTAACGTTGGTTCGTTTGCTCCCATGCTGCTATAAGTTCCGATTGTTTCCCTTGAGATGGTTTCATTCCTTCCTTGCTCGTCCATCCAGCTTGTGTGCCATCTTGGAACTCGTCGTTCGTTAGACAAACTTGTAAACAAAAGTCCAAGTTCACCAACTCGCCAACATGAGATTCTCAACGCTCGCAGCAGGCCTCCCCCTCGTGGCGGCGGCTCCTCAGGGTCACTCCTTCAAGCAGCAGGCCAACAGCACCGGAAAGAGCCTCCTTCTCGACCAGGCCCCCGAGACCTCGCAGCCCTACGCCCTCCGCAAGGGAGCCGGCCGCGCCGTCGCCGTCGGCGAGCAGGTCTACCGCTTCTCCGTCACGGGTAACTCCTCCGCCGGCGCCTTCACCCTGATGCAGACCAACGCCCCGGACTCGTCCGACCTGGGAGTCCTCCCCCACATCCACAAGGCCCACTACGAGAACTTCTACTGCACAAAGGGCCAGATCCAGCTGTGGGCCCAGACCAACAGCTCCGGCGAGCAGGCCCGCGTCCTCACCCCCGGCGACTACGGTGCCGTGCCCCACAACACGGTCCATACCTTCCAGATCACCGACCCGGACACCCAGCTCACGGGTGTCATCCAGCCCGGCGGCTTCGAGGAGCTCTTCATCGCCATCGCCAACTCGGATTTCGTCTCCCCCACGGGCTCCGAGTTCGTCCCCGCCGCCTCCAACGGCTCCTCCTCCGGCTCCGATCCGGCCCTCATCTCCGCCCTCGAGGCCTTTGACGTCTACGCCCAGCTCGACTTCAGCCCCCGCCGCGACCTCGTCAACGGCAGCGCGGGCGGCGCGACCGCGAGCACCTGGCACACGGCGTCCAACACCCTCGCCCCCGACGCCGTCACCCCCAACTTTGTCGCAAAGAACCGCGGCCCCAAGTACCTCAACGCCGACGGCGGCGTCTACCACCTCGTCGCCCCCTTCGCGACGGCCAACCAGACGGCCAGCAACTTCACCATGGGCACCGTCACCCTGAGCCCCCTGCTCTCCAACCAGACCGCCACCAAGGCGAACCTCGCCCAACCCCTGGCCTTCCAGCTCGAGGAGGGCGCCCTCGAGGTCGCCGTCGAGGGGTACGACGCCGTCACGCTGATCCAGGGTGACGTCGTCTTCGTGCCCGCCAACGTGCCTTTCACCTACGCCGCCTCGGCCGCCTTCACAAAGTTCCTGTACGTCAGCGGCGGCGGCGACGGCTTCGATTACCAGCTCCTTCAGCGCGCTGTGCCTTGGTCGTATGCCACGTACCCCATCGACGCCGGGTTCACTGTGCAGTAAAGAAGAGTGATGTTGCTTTAGGGGAGGGGGCAGGGGTAAAGCCTAGCTCTGCTCTACTTCAGGGACTTGTCGCAGTACATTCAAAAGTTGTACATTTTTTCAAAAGATATTGTACATGGATTCCTCCTCACAAACAGTTTTTCTACTTCTTTAGTGTAAATTTGTTCTCTCCTGCTCGTTATACCCCCGGGATGAGCAGCCCACAAGCCGCATGAGGCCGACGGTGGTCAAAACTCCCGAGGTACCATATGCAATTTTTTTTCAGATAGTAACAATATTATATCCCTTTGACAATCTAGACCAGGCTGTTTTGGTGGCGGTGTCCCATTTTGTGATGATGAGATGGCCCACGGAGGTTTGCTAGTCATGAAGCTAAGTTACACCGCCTCTGGGTCCAGAAGAAACGTGTAGTTCGGTGTTTTGAAGTGCCGAGAGGTCTATGGGATGGATGGATCCAGTGTAAAGCTTGAGACGCCTTGTATCAGCAGTTGCCCTCATACAACTAGCTAAACAGTGGTCATGCTCGAGGTCGGTGAGGCTGTGATCCCTACTGGGCTAATTATGACCTCGTGTAAGAGGTCAAGGGGGCTTCATGATACCGACTTTCCTGCAAGGCTTTTTTACCTAGGTCAGCCCCATCGCATCGGAATCTGCGACAACTACGATACGATCTTAGACTGGGGCCGATCTCGTACCCAAATTACCGGCCGCTATGATGGTAGTGGATCCTGCGATGAGGCTTGTGTAGGGCATCGAGCAAGGCAGACTATGGCTGGCCACCTCTCCGTGAACGAACTTGGTTTTGTCCATCTCAAACAAGGACATACCATCCTCACAGGAAAATCAAAAGTTCCATAATCCCTAATGATTAATTCCAACGCTAAGATGGAGTTTCAAAATAATGGTTCCCTCTTTGCCTACAGTAAGTAGGGGGGGCGATATTTTGGAAAAGGGGCTTGGGTGGTGCACAGCCACTCTCCCCTCCCGTGGAGTTGTTGACTTGACGAGACTCAGTTCCACTTCACTTCAGGCAGAAGTTAAATCTAATAGTATTTATTAAATGAGATGGGCGCTTTTGGTTTGCGGTTGGTGGCCATTTACTGCTTGCTCGTGGTGTGGTCGATATCGCCATCAGAGGGTCCGAACTGGAAGTGCTCAATGATGTGATCGCAATGGCCTGGAGAGCTCACGGTAAGCTTCACTCCTTTCTTCCATGTATCCCGGTCCATCTTGGAATTCATCCAAAAAACACTAATCTTCAGGTTGGTCTTCCTGCATTGAGGATCGAGAAGGTATTGTTGCAATTCTAGTTGTCAGGTAGCATCACGATTGTAACTACTCTCCAGATGGCGGGTTTGGAACTTTTGTCAACATTTGTTTTCTTCCAGTTCGGCTCATCCAGCATAATCTCTATACCATTCGCAAATACTTTACTGACTGCTCAGTGCCCAATTTTAGTTTGATCGCTATTAAAGAAAAAAGTTAGAGGAAGGAGGGGGGATACTGACCTTATAATTCACGCCCCTGTCCGGATTCGAACAGCGCGCCCCTCGGACCAGCACGGCCTCATTGGAGTATTTGTTTTATATCGACTCTGCGTCAGAGCCGATACCACTCGGCCAAATGCTCAATGATGAATCATAGAACACTTGGGAGTGGGTGCTGGTGACAGGAGTGATGATTAGATCCCTTAAGTAAGGTAGGTTGAGGAAGGAAGGCATGTAGAGGAGGGAAGGAGCGAGATGGTAAGTGCGTCCCTGAATACTCACCCATGATCCGAGGGCTGGGTTCAAAACTCGTCTAGGAAGTCTCCTGTACATCTACTCCCTGGGTTGTGTGAAGGGTTGGTTCTCAGGAAAGCTCCTGGAAGGTGTTGAGGGACATGTCGTAGGTTCACCCTCTCGAGGCCTTTTACGGTGATGTTTGTGTATTTGAATGTTTTCTTATACGTTCTTCGGAATGACATAACCCATTTGAAAACATACTGCTTGCTATAAGGAGGGCTGGTTGTATTCTATGCCAGATGGATGCCGGATGTGGTCGCCCTCTAGGTAAGTCTAGGAGGAGGATAGTTCCTGTGAACTGTTCTGCGTCTGCCCTTTCCAAGTCGCCACTCCTACTACTCTAGGATCCTGCCATTACTTTAAAGAAGAGAGTCTGGTATTGGTAGCCTTGCTTGTGGTGCTCCCTTCATTATGTATGCAGCAAACATCAAGATGAGCATGATACTTGGCGTCCTACTTACACGTAGCAGAACAGTACAAGAACCTAGCAAGACTGAATACAATAACTAAGGACTCTATCTTCCGACTCAGGAACAAGAGCGTACTTTTGTCTGATAATCTGCATCCAGGAATCTACAACGTTGTTAGTCATGTCCAGACCACGACAACTTATTGGCGATATTTCAACAATCCCGACTCGACGACCGGATTAGACGAATGAAAAAATCATGCAGCTGATACGGAGTACCAGTCAGAAATTGATAGCAATAAGTCCGGGAGGGCTCCAGGCGCCCGCATCGTCCCGGTCAGCTTCCCCGCTCCGGAAAGACGAGAGAAAACGTATGGCGTGACCCAATGCGTACCAGCGGCGCAGCCTCTGCACGCAACCTCGTGTGTGAGTGTTTCCCTCAGATGAGACTCCGAACCTGACTTCAGGCTCACTTTATCGACTTATGAGATTCCGTCCCTCGCCTGGACCGTTCTATTCGGGCACGCCTCGATTTTGCCCGACAGTCTGGGCAGTCCTTCCCGCGTTTCCGCGTACATGGAAGATGCGGCTTGCATGCAAGGCGATGCATGCTATTAACTAAGAAAGGTGTCGAGATGAGGGGTAATGGTCTGCGATGAGGCTAGCTGCAGCTGGCCAACAAGAACAACAACTTGGATTCCTTCTCCGTGTTTTCCCCTCCTCAGGAATGGAGTCCATCTAAGATCTGTAAAATTCAAGTTGGGTTGTGATCTCGCTGTCTTCGATTTCCATACTTGGAGATGATAAGAGCTCACGGTACTTAAGATAATCAGCGTGAAGTCCGCTGGTATGGGCTTTTGGGATGAAGTGAAGCCGTAGATGGGAGGTAGCCAAAGCTGCCTGAGTAAGGCTCTCGACGACGGCTGCAGGACATGATGCGCTCCTACGTTGGCGCTCCAGAAGCAGCAACCACAACAAAATGGCACTCATAGTGTTTTGACGCAAACCCGTATTCGTCGATGGCGTAAAGAGTGGCAGAGGTCATCACGGGCGGCGAAAATGCCAAGCGTACCTCGCATTGGCCTCTCACTCTACAGGCAAGGGCTTCTTGAACGAAGCAATATAAATAGAGGGAAACTTGGCCATATAAAAATTGTGTTACTTCTTTCTTCTCATTCATTCCAAGTCTCGATTATTTTTGAAAATTAGTAAAGACGCCTCAAAATGACAAAGATCTTTGCCCCATGGGCCGCCTTGGGCCTCTTGTTAATGAGTATCCCGGGCGGGATATCATCAAGTATCCCCCGATCCATCGCTCACTCGCGAATCCTTCCCAGAGCTTGTGACGTCAAGGCCGAGTACGACTACGTTATCGTTGGAGGAGGCACTTCCGGCCTGACAGTCGCTGATCGATTGACCGAAAGCGGCGAGCGTAAGTTCACCGCAGAAGAAGAGGGAGCACCACAAACTTGCTAACTCTGACACTCGCAAGATACTGTTTTGGTGATTGAGCTCGGTTTATTCGGTGAGACCTCAACTTTCTCCAGAACTACGTCTCTTAAGAATACATGTGTATGACTAACACTCCAGCCAAAGACAACTCGTCTCAGGTGAACACCGTCACAACGGGCCTCTTATCCTGGCGCAACCAATCCCACACCTTCAACTTCTCCTCCGTGCCCCAAGATGGCCTCAACGGCCGCAAGATCAACGTCATTGGCGGCGTCATGCTTGGTGGCTCGACTGGCGTCAATGCCATGCAGGTCCATCGCGGCCAGAAGGAGGACTACGACAGATGGGGCTCCTACTTTAGCAATGAATCGGAGTGGAGTTGGGATGGCCTGCTGCCATACTTCAAGAAGGTGATTAATACTCCCAGATTACCGCCCATGAGAGACTGTTATTGACGTGGTGTTCAAAATTAGGCGTGGAACTTCCACCCTCCTACCCCTGAGCTGACCGAGCAGTTCGACATCAAGTACGACGCGAGCTACTGGGGCAACTCCTCCGGCATTCACGCTTCCTTTCCGACGTTCCACTGGCCTATGCTGAGTATCTACCTCCTCTCTTGTTATCCCTGCTGATCCATATCAAGACATCATGCTAATGAAACTTAACGTACCACAGAGACCGAAGTTGAAGCCTTCAAAGACATCAAAGGCGTCGACTTCCCCGCCGACTCAGGCGCCGGCGACCCAGGTGTCTTCTGGTACCCGACCTCCTTCGACCCGGCCACCGTGACGCGCTCCATGGCCAGGCGAGGCCACTGGGACGGCATCGAGGCCGCGCGGGATAACTATGAGACGATTACCGGGCACAAGGTGCTCAAGGTCTTTTTTGACGGCGACAGCCAGACCCAGACGGCCGTCGGCGTGTCTTACGTCGAGGCAAACTCCACCACCGCCAAGGGCGCGCGGATCGTCAAAGCCCGGAAGGAAGTCATCCTGGCCACGGGATCCATACATACGCCGCAGATCCTGCAGCGCAGCGGCGTGGGAGGGAGGGCGCTTCTTGAGGAGGCTGGGATCGAGGTCGTTGTCGATTTGCCCGGCGTCGGACAGAACTTCCAGGACCACCCTGTTGGTGCTGGGGCCACCTTTACCTGTGAGCTCCGATTATATTCCCCTTTCATAGACACAGCACGTTGAGCTTCCGTTGATATCTTCTCTCACCAAGTCACCAACTTTGACGTTCACCCTGATATGACCGACCTAGTCAACAACCAAACCTTCATCGACGAAGCCAAAGCAGAATTCGAAGCCAACCGAACCGGTCCGAGCTTCCTCTCAACTCACCTCAAAGACAAACATCACTAACTTCTTTACCCTCCAGGACCTCTTACCATAGGCGCAGGCAACGTAGCAACATTCCTCCCCTTCCCCGTAATAGCACCCTCCTTCGACGCCATCACATCCGCCTACGAATCCCAACCTCCCTCGGCCTTCCTTCCTCCCCATACAGACACAACAGTCATAGCAGGCTACGCAGCCCAACAATCCCGCTTCGCAGCAGCACTACGCTCCCCCGGCGCCGCATTCTACAACTTCTTCCTCCGCGGTGCGCCGACAGAAAGCAACTTTGTCCTCCTCCACCCGCTCTCCCGCGGCACAATCCTCCTCAACACCTCGAACCCCTTCTTTTCTGAGCCAGTCGTCGATTACCGCGCGCTGAGTAACCCCACCGATCTAGCCGTACAAATCGAGTTTATCCGCTTCACGAGGCGGTATTTTCTAGAGTCCTCGACGCTGGCGCGGTATGGGCCGGTGGAAACTGTCCCTGGCGCGAATGTGACGAGTGATGAAGCGCTGGGCGAGGCTTTGAGGCGGATGATTAGCCCGACGACGTTTCACCCCATTGGGACGGCGGCTATGATGCCGAGGGAGTTGGGAGGGGTTGTGGATGAGAAGTTGGAGGTGTATGGGGTTCGGGGGTTGAGCGTTGTCGATGCGAGTGTTATGCCTGATTTGCCGGGGGCTTATACGCAGCAGACTGTTTATGCTGTTGCTGAGAAGGTGAGTTTTCTGATGATGAGAAAGGAGGCGTCAAGGTGTAAAAGGTTTGGGAGAAGAGATGTGTTACTGACAATTACATAGGCTGCTGATCTGATCAAAGCCCGGGCGTAAGGCCGGTTTAACATTATAGCAGAGGTCCTGATGTTTCCCGTTGGAGTTGATCTCTCTTGCAATGGTTCCAATCTCGTAGCACCGTCGTGTACAATGAGGTCAAGAGCCGACCATACCCTAGATCATTTTCCACCGCCAGTGGCTCCTCATTAATCACGACGGCATCGGCTGACATGCTTGCCCAAACGCTATTCTCGGCCGTTTAACCTGCTTTGTATACTAATACTGCCCACTGAAGGGTAATCAGGTACAGAGATAGTTACAAAGGGTGAGCTTTTTCAAGCAATGATGTGCCTAGAATAATTACAAGAACCAATATACCAATACTGCTCATCGTACTGGACGTATTGAGTAGGTTTGTTACCCACTTCACGGAATAGAGGTATAACCTTGGGGATGGTCCTGACTCGAGGCTCCAATGACTAGAGCCGTTATCTTCGCAGTATTTACGCTGGAAAGATCGGAGAGTGAAGTGTGCTGGTACATTCTATCGTTCACAACAAGGACAATGGCACAGTACATCAGGTGTAGCAAATGTCTCATGCTTATCCAATATAACTCAATTGCTCAATCCAGAAAGCTGGCTAGTAACAAGGAAACTTTTCGGTACGACCATACCCCTCAAGTATCATGATATATACAAAACAACATGACAGCAGATGTCTAGTACATGAAACGCAAAGACTAGTACACCTCGAGTACATAACGACCATCCTCCTTGAGCTTCTCAATCTCGTTGCGGGCATTGACCTTCTTGCCGCTCATCTTGGCCTCAACGTTAATAGCCTCCATCAACACATCCGTAACATCAGGCACAGGCCACGTAGGACCGCACAGGTAGAAGCTGCCCTCGTCGCGAATGTACGACTGCACAACGTCGCGCATGGACTCGCGCATACGGTCCTGGATGTAAATCTTGCGCGGCTGGTCGCGCGAGAACGCGGCGCCGAGGTGCGTGATGACGCCAGCGTCGACGTAGGCCTCCCACTCCTCGCCGTACAAGTACTCCTCGCGCTGGTGGCGGGAGCCGAGGTAGAGCAGGATGGAACCGATTTCCTCGCCGCGCGACTTTTGCAGGGCACGGTACTGCACGAAGGCGCGGAAGGGCGCCAGGCCGGTACCGAGACCGGCCATGATGAGGGGCGCCTTGGAGGAGGTGGGGAGCTTCATGACGGAGGGCTTGACGGAGGCGACGACGGTGGCGCCGACGGGGAGGGCGGAGAGGTAGCGCGTCGCGTGACCGAAGCGGTTGCGGCCGAGGGGGTCGACCCAGTCGACGACGACGATCATGAGGGCGACCGAGGTCGGGGTCACGGCCTGGGCGGAGGCGATGGAGTACTCGCGGCGCTTGAGCGGGGCGATGATGCGGACGAGGTCGTGGAAGGACGGGCGGGCTGAGGGGAACTCCTGGAGGATGTCGACGTAGGTGACAAAGTCGACCTCGGAGCGCTTCTTGAAGTCGGCGGCGCCCTCTGCGCCACCGAGGCTGGCGAGGACGGCCTTTTCGCGCTCGTCGGCGGCGAACTCGGAGAGGGCCTCGCAGAAACGCTTGGGGGGCTTGCCGAGGACGTCAATGTTCTGCTTGAGGGACTGGTAGACGGTGCGGGTCTCGAAGGCGGCGTTGTCCTCGCGGGCGGGCACCTGGACGAGGGCCTCCGGGTCGAGGCCGTACCACTTGATGAAGGCGGTGACCTCCTCGTGGTCGTTCTCGGCGTGGATGCCTAGGGCTTCGCCAATGTCGTAGGTGAGACCAGAGTCGCCGAGGTCGAACTCAATGTGGAAGATGTTGCGGTCGTAGTTGCCGGGCGTGAGGCGGCGGTTCTCCTTGACGGTGATGGTGTGGGTCTTCACGGGCAGCTCCGGGCGGAGGACGCCCTGGGTGCCGAAGGCCTCCTTGAAGGCGAGGCCCTTGGCCGCGGCCTGCCAGTCGACGAGCTGGGAGGTCTCCTCGGCCTCCTCCTTGTTGAAGCCGACGAAGCTGTTGGGCTTGATGGTGGCGGGCAAGGGGCTGACGACGACGTCCTCGGGCAGCTCGGCCCAGGCGGACTGGGGCTCGACCTTGCGCAGGGCCTGGCTGAGGGCCTCCTGGGTCTCGACGAGGGTGCTGGAGAAGCCCTCGGGGAGGGCAAGCTTGGCAACCTCTTCGACGGTGATGTCGGAGCGGGCGATCTGGAGGAAGGCGAACTCCAAGAGGACCTTGACGGCCTGGGACTCCTTCTCGGCAAAGGCGGAGGCGTCGAGGATGTAGAGCTCGATGGACTTGTCCAGGATCTGCTTGCGCACGATGGGGGAGAGGCGCTTCTCGAGGTCCTCCTCCTTGAAGGTAGGGAGGTTCAGGAGAAGCTTACCACCAGCCTTGACGCTCTTAATGATATCGAGATCCTTGAGGAGCTTCTCTTCAGCGACGGCGACAACATCGGCCTCCTCGACGGCGTAAGGCGCTTCGATGGCCTTCTTGGAGCTGCGGATGTCGGTGCGGACGATACCGCCCTGAAGCAGGTTGTCGAAGGACTCGTGGACGTA